TAATCCAACAGCACACACTCAACATACAGAATAGAAGTACTGCTTGGACAAGAACCAAAATTATTAGGGTGAACCAATACCATTAGTGCACTGAAAATTATGGTGGGAAACCAAGGGAGAAACTACAGGAAAAATATCACACAAATGGCTATCAGTTCTTTTAGTTGCTTACTGTGTCTCATTATATGACCTTGTTAAAATGAAATTTCCAGTTTCAAATGTGTGGACAGCTGCAATAGAGCACCTCACTGCTTCTAATCTAAACCCAATTGACTAGCAACATTAAATAGTGAATAACAGATCGCCTCTCATTTGTTCCAAGGAATTGAGTGTGTTTGGTTCCTAACAAAGCAATAAGTCATGTGGTGCCGACATTCTTTCCTAGGCAGTTCACCAACATTATGAAGATATTCTAAAGAAATTCTAAAGTGCCCTGCAAACAAGGCAGAAAAACAGAAGCAACTTTCACAGGGAAGAAAAGTGTTGAGGACATGTGTTGACACAGCACGGACGTGCTGTGAGGCTTTTACAGTTTGAAATGCCAGCTGCATCTCATTCTTTGGGTAAGGTGATCTCTGCCAGCCCAGATGCATCCAGAATATTTGCTTCACATTCATGCCATTCTGTAAAAGGGCAAAATATGCTGGTAGAAGGAAACATTCCATTCCTTGAAAAATCTGCCTGATGTGGCTTGTCCACTAAAAGAACTCATTTTCATAGTAGTTTCCCAGAACTTTCCCACTGTATGTTGGGCCATCACACTCATAAATATGACTAATTCTTTCTAAAGAAGAAGAGAGAAGAAGAGTTTGGATTTGATATCCCACTTTATCACTACCCGAAGGAGTCTCAAAGCGGCTAACATTCTCCATTCCCTTCCCCACCCCACAACAAACACTCTGTGAGGTGAGTGAGGCTGAAAGACTTCAGAGAAGTGTGACTAGTCCAAGGTCACCCAGCAGCTGCATGTGGAGGAGAGGGGAAGCGAACCCGGTTCACCAGATTACGAGACTACTGTTCTTAAGCACTACACCACACTGGCTCTCATGTTATTGTTACCCCCCTCAAACACATATCCAGCAATACCAACTTGGGAGCTCTAGTGCCAATTAGAGGTTGTGTGTTGTTGTTTTTTTAAAAAATCCATAAACTTAGAAAGCCAGATAGACAAATTGGTGACCTCCCCCACCCCCACAAAAAACCCAGCACCATGACGTAGCAAAGTCCCACAGAGACGTCTGCTGCTGCACCAGGGACCAAGCAAGGACACCAAGAGAGAGTCTATGTTTTCAGCTGCAGACCTAGTGATTATCAGCTCTTAAGGGATGGGTACTGTATCCAGCAATGTTGCCTTCTACCTGTTATTTCTGGATTAGAGGTCTCTGTGTATTGTTGCGAGCAGATAGACTTGTGAGCCTGTATGCATAAGGGGTTAAACCAATTCTTGAAGCTTATATCTCGCTATGGGTGAGTCATCTGTGGGAAGCGTTTCCCCGGGATGCAGAAAACTCAGAACGAAACCATGTGAAAACGAAATCGGTAAAGAGAAGGAGAAAGAAAAGTGACAGAGGAATAGCAATCTATCACAGGCAAGTGCATTGAAGAATGAAACTCTGTAGGCAGCCCGTCATGTTTGGATAATGCTCCTCCAAACAGAACCGGAAAGGAAACACTGGCTGGTAAAAAATTGCTCTGCACTTCATCAATAAATGTGAGCATTTATGTTTGAAGATGGGATTAAACCACAATTAACTGAAAGTCAACACCATCTGTCCTTAAAAAATCTTCTCCTACTGAATTGTTTACACAACATGTCAACACGGCGAGAGAATTACTCATCCCCCCCCCAAAAAAAAATCTGCATGGAGGGACTGCAGCTCAGAGCACTTAAAATCCCAGGTTCATTCCCCCAGTGGCATCTCCAGTTGAAAAGGATCACACAGTGAGTGATGCCAAAGGCCCTCTGCCCTAGAGCATGGGGAATCCTCTGTGCAGATCAACAAACTGCCTCACCTGGCAGCAGGCAGCCTCTTATGATCAGTTACTGGCTCTGCACATCTTCCAGACTTGGTTCCCTTGCTGCCATCCATCTAGTGGGCTGTACTTAGGCCCTGTCTGCGCTATGCATTTAAAGCAGTATCACACCACTTTAATCTGCTGTGGCTTCCCCCAAAGAATCCTGGGAAAGGTAGTTTGTTAGGGGTGCCGAGAATTCCCTTCACAGAGCTACAATTCTCAAAGTGGTTTAACAGTCCATCCCTTTTCCCATGGAACTCTGGGAATCATAGCTCTGGGAGGGGAACAGGACTCTCCTAACAACTCTCAGAACACTTAATAAACTACATTTCCCAGGATTCTTGCAGGGAGCTATGACTGTTTAAAGTGTATGATGATGCATTGAAATGTATAGTGCAGTTAGCTGTGCAAAAGAACCTGTCCTCCAATTCCCTCAATAAGTTTTCTTCTCCTGCCAAGGAGGCTTGCATCTTTTCTGCCTCTTCCTTGTGGCACTTTTGGGTTTTTAAAAAATGTATTTCTTTATAATTTTGGTGGGTGCAGGGTGAAACATACCTTACTGTTGTGATGCAACTGTGGTTGTTGTTTTTTCTTCCCATTAAATAGTTCCTTAACACAGCAGCCTTCCCAGGTCCTGTGCTTTTTCCCGATTTGAAAATCCCTATGGGAAATATAGAGACAGGGGAAGAAATGTGATTCGGTTCACTTTCAAAGGGGAACAGACCTAATTTGTAATTAGAAATGCAGCAATTGTTCAAAACTGGCACTTCTCTGAACTTTGCAATGCACTTCTCCAGCCAAGTAATTCACATTAAGATGTTGGTGAATTTTCATGAGGACTTTTACAAAAAGAAATACGGAAAAATGAGAAACTGAAATTGACATATTCACTCATCCAAAGGGAAATGTAACCTTATGACATCTTCCCCTGAGATTTAAGGGACAAGGGAGACTGTTACTGAGTAGCTGAAATTGGTGGGATCACTTGTTGTGTTTTTATGGGAAATTGTTCCATTTACCTTTAAAAACAAAAAAACCCTGGACCAATTCCTTTAAAAATCAAGCTTCCCATTTTAAGCAATGAACAGCTGTCAGGTGCACAGTAGCTAGCCCCTCAACCTCCCCATGAGAATTTCACCAAAGTTTCTGCTCTCCTTTCATAATTTTCTGGCGCAATTTATTTTCTCATAACTGAAGGAGAAGAGGGGGAAATGCAGGATAAATCTTTGAAGCTGCACTGGATTGTATAGGTGGTAATGCTCACCTGGCAGGGGAGACAACTTGACCACGAATTGTATAGGTAGTGATCAAAAGGTTCTCTATTTGGCTATACCTCCTTGTCAGCTATAAAGTGATCAGCTGTAGTGCCTGCATATTAAATAGTTCCCCATTCCTTTGCCCAGAAGCAGGAGATTGCACTGTTCTGGGTAGCGTATGCATGTTACATGTCGGACAGAAACCTTATCACATCCCTACATCGCACAAGAAGGAATAAATCATCTCCTGAGTTATGGGAGAAGATTGCTACAACTACATTATTTATCTATGACATGATCCAGCTGATAGAGCCCCACTAGCTTCAGTGGTAGAGATTTAAGCGCATGCTCCATTTCCCCACTGAAAGAGGTTGGCACTGATAAAAACTTCCCACACAGTAAACATAAAATTAAGGTTGCAATGCAAGCCACAACCTTCTCCACAGCTAAGATGAGTTTACGTGGTGCATCAGGGTCCCATTTGAAAAGTACCATTTGTCAGAACGATGAGGGTAGGGGGAGCTGCTCTGCTCCCATCTCTCTGTAGTCCGCTGCCCTGTTTGCATTAGCTACCCTGTCCTTAGAAATCTTCAATCTGTTATCAGCCTACAGCCCTGGAGTCCCACCGATGGGCAGCAACACTCTCTGTGAACCATTTCCATGAAATGTTCCAAGCCACCATCTGGAATGGGGTTGGCGAGCACCATTTCCATCCGGTGAGAAAGAAGGACGGTCCGGGAGTAAGTCTTCAGATGAAGGCTATTCTGAGCAGTGTCTCTTGGCAGCCCAGTCCATTAAAGAGAGCTACATTTGCTGGATCAAGAAGCACAGATGCAAATCTGATGTTCATTCAAGTGTGGATGCCATCTATCCCATTCAAATGTGCATCCATATTCTACTGACACATAGAAAACTTTTTCAAAAGTGCGACTAGAGTTGGATCAGGGTGAAAATATGTTATGTCTACTATGGACTTTCACTAGTATGCTGAATAAGAAATCCCTTCTCTTCTCCTCCCAATCTCTCTCTCCATTCCCACCGGTTCCTGTCTTCCAACTTTCCTGCATCTCACACAGGGAAGCCCAGCTCTCCCTGGATCCAGCCAGATCTCTTCCCAAGCTTACGCCCCCATTCACAGCAGGAAGACTAAAATCCCTCCAGCAAACATCTCTCTTGATTCTGGACACCCTGAGACTTTGTCATCAACAGGTCAGACATAACACAGACACACACCCCATCTCTCCAACCCTCCTCTCTTACTTCTCATAACACACAACACCACACTCATTTGTGACTAAACAAAACACAGCCTAATTTTTTAAACGGCTTTCAATGCTTTCCAAATTGATTCCAGATTTGTACATTAAGAAATGGCTTTATTTGGCTTGTTTCATTGCCAAGAGGCACTTTTTAATATAAACTCATTACTTCTAGAAGTTCAAATGATTTTGCCTTATTTCTGAGAAAATTTGCGAAGTTAATGTTCCATAACTCAGGGTGGAAATGGTGCAATTAAGCCCCACTAACAAATATCATTGGGGAAAGGTAGCTTGGTTTTTGCAGATATGCGATTGCAGGCTTTCTGGCTAATCGCTTAGTTTAACAGCCTGACCCTTAAATTACTCTACCAGGACAAACCGCAGTGAAGAAGAGTGTTGCAGGACGAGCTGTAGGAATGGGCCAGATTTCCACCCCCTCCTTATTCTGCAGAACAATACGGGCACGGGACAGACTTATAGATATGAAGCTGAGGCAGATTGGAAAGAGACAGATGAACCCATCCCTAAGTAGCACTGCTGCTTTTAAAAAGGTAAGTTCTTCAATCAATGTATAGCGGGGCTCTGCATATTCCTTCATATAAGACCTGAATCAGCCCAAATTCAGCCATTCACATTCTCAAGGCATTTCCAAAAGTTTTTTCTCTGGGTAGAACCAGGCTTTTCTATGTACATTGAAAAGCCATAGCAGAAGCTGAACAGAAACTTTTTTTGCTTTGAAGTTGAAAGATGAGCCATTGCCTTGTTGCCTACGGTAACATGGCAAGCAAATTAATCAGGGAACCATTGGGGATATTGTAAAATCTTTCAGGTGGAGGGGTTCCTGATCCCAAGTGCCAATTCACATTGGCAGCATATGTGAGCACGATGACCCATTTTTAGCAGCCATGCCTGAGCAGCATAGCATGAGGAAATGGTACCTATTACCAGTGTTTGCTTTACCTGAGATTGCTTTTCTGCACATGCCATGGGAACAACCCATGAGGAAGATTTTAGAGCATCTGAAAAAGCCCTCGGTTCCCTTAGGAAAATGTGGGCCAAATTAAATCCTTGAACATCCCTAGTACTATAGTCAAGAGGACTACTCAAACTCCAGCAAACTCCTAGTAAAATCAGGGGCTATGTGTCATTACACGTCCAGGAAGGTAAACAACTATAATTCATTGTTTCAGATGACAAGATAAATAAATGGCAAATGAAAGCAATGTTTAAACATGTAATAAGCTGCTTGAAGAAAAACATTCTGAAAACGTTCTCCATTCAGACTTGTTTGAAGAAAGATCCAGCGGTGCAAAAAGTAATTCATAAACAGCTGAAAAGAAAGAGACTGGAAAAGATGCTGTTTGCAGGCGCTTGGTCCAGATAGACACAAACTCACCTGCTCACTCCATTGCCCTGAACACTGACGGCGTCATTCCTGAAAGCTCAGGACGTTGTCAATCTTCATAATAAAATCTGAGGGCTGAAAGCTGTTTCTAAAGGAATAGTCCATGACTTCAAAGTGTCACTGATTTTGCCCTCTGTGACACAGCAGCAGAGTTGCTGGAGATGAAAAGGCACCTTTGTTCAGCCCTCTGTTTGCTTAAGACAGTTCAGAAATGGCAGAGCTCTTCAATGATAGTTTTAAATTACTCACCTATCAGTTCTCCCTCTGTCTCCCCAACCCCCCGCCTGCCACAAAAAAAAAAAAAACCCATCACAGCAATGCTGAAACCTGTGGACTTTCCATCTAAACAAAGATTGCTCTAATTCTCTTTAATGTTGCTGTCTACCCCACTGTACCTGGAAGCATGCATTCTCACTGTATTTTGCTCTGTATTTTGCACTGTATTGTTTCTCTTTCAGGAGCTTCCATGTGATCACAATGGGGGGCTTACAGGGTCGAATGGTTGGCTTGGAACCCAGTGAAGATCACATGCATGGGCTGACAGTGTGATCTAGTGCTTCCCCATTGGGTCACACATATGGCTTTGATTTGCTCATGGAAGCTTCACACACAGAGACACAACACGCTTCTGTGATTGCAAAAATTACCATATTTTTTGCTCTATAAGACTCACTTTTTCCCTCCTAAAAAGTAAGGGGAAATGTGTGTGCGTCTTATGGAGTGAATGCAGGCTGCGCAGCTATCCCAGAAGCCAGAAGAGCAAGAGGGATTGCTGCTTTCACTGCGCAGCAATCCCTCTTGCTGTTCTGGCTTCTGAGATTCAGAATATTTTTTTCTTGTTTTCCTCCTCCAAAAATTAGGTGCGTCTTGTGGTCTGGTGCGTCTTATAGAGTGAAAATACGGTATGTTGCAAAGTAACTCATTTGGCTTTGGGTACTTGGCACCTTGATCTGAGGGAGTAGGAAACACTATTTGTTGCTCTGCTTCAGGCAAGTTTACCTGCTAAATTTCTGTGAAGCCAACAGGGCCAACGCTTGATTTTAAATTTTCTCACACAATACCAACATTCAAAGGGATAGGGAAAAAAGGTTGACTTTCAGTCTGCTTGTAGACAGTTCACATTTCCTGAAAACATACTCAGAAGCTTCTTCCTTACTTGAGACACTCCAAAAGGGAGTCGGGAAGGAGATAAACATATCCCCAAGTCTCCTTTCCCCTCCATGATTATTTCATGTCTTAGCAGCCTCCCTACCCCCAAAATCGGACTGATTAGATTGTTTTCAAAAAGATTTTGTGTTGAATGATCAAAAATGCCTCCCCTGCCAGATTTGCTGGAGCCACGGAGAGCGTGCTTGCATGAATTCATCAAGAAAGATGAATATGCATTCAGGTCAAAACATTCCTTGATCATCTTTGCTCCTTTGACCTTTCCCGACATGTGCTCACAAAAGTGGCTTGAGGGGAAAGAGAAAACAAACTCGAGTGTTTCTGCAGAGAATTAGAAGGAATTCCCCTGAATATGAATATCTGGAGCCATGATTACTCCCCTTCTTTCCCCAGCTTTTCATTTCATCCTGTTCACATGGTCAGGAAGGCTGGGTAATCAAGCAATAATCAACTAACCCCTAGGTTATTCCACTGTTATACAAAAGGGCCATTCAGTGTGGAAGTAGCAAATGAAAAGAGTCTGCTGATATATTACAGGGAGCTAGCGCGGAAGTATGAAGAACGACTGAAGCAGTCTGCGCTTAAATTTAACATCCCTATTTGCAAACTTCCAGACAGTGAGTTCCAGTGAGTTCCAGCTGAAAAAAAGCCCTGCTTCCATAGCTATTGCAAAACTTCAAGGGGCGGGGGAGAGAGTGGTCAAGTTCACATCTCTGTGGGAGTGTTGTTGTGGGATAATTACCCAATGTAGAATTTTGTTATACGACTTCAAAACAGTGCATTCAGGCCAAAAGAAGAGCCAACAATCAGGGCTGGCCCACCCATGAGGCAAAGTGAGATGACTGCCTCAGGTGGCAAGATCAAAGGGACAGCTGATCCAGACTTCAAGGAATGCATTGCCTGCTGGCTTGGGGGCTGGATCTGCTGCACTCTACAATTCTATGATTCTAACTCTGAAGAAGGCAAATGTTCTGCAGGTGCTGCTTCCGACATCATATGGTTGCAGTTATGGAGGTGACCACTCTTTTTAGAATGTCTATATGTGATGGAAGATGGGGCACAATTAGCGGCAGGGTGTTGCAGGTGGGACTCAGGCCTCGAACCAAAACGTTGTATGTTTCAGGCACTTGTATGGCACCCTAAATGGCAGGGTCGGGTGTGTGGAGGTGGTAGCACCCTGGACAGTTCCACTGAACAAGTCTCTGGAGCAGGGGATTAGGAACCTCTGGCCCTGGAGGGGTGGTTGGACTCTAACCCCCATCAATCCAGCTTGCAGGATCAGTAGTTAGGGACAGTGTTTCTCAACCTTGGGTCCCCAGCTGCTGTTATACTACAAGTCCCATCATCCCTAGCTAGCAGGGCCAGTGGTCAGGGATGATGGGAGCTGTAGTCCAACAACATCTGGAGGATCACAAATTCCCCACCCCTGCTTTAAAAGCTGAGTCACCAGGGATACAGGTAGTAAAAACATTGTATGATTTGAATGTAATGGAGGCAAATGATTTCCTGCCACAAAGAATGCCAAAATATAAAAGCAGAGAGAGAGAGAGAGAGAGAGAGAGAGACAGAGAGATTAAAGGCATGTAAAAAAAGAGAGCAACTTCCTTTGATGTAGGGATTAATTATATGAATTTGGAATGCTTTTTTTTTAAAATGGGAGCTTTATAGGAAGCATTCTACCTATGTCATAGGAAATTAAACGTTTTCTCAAAAGGATTCCAGTTTTACAATGTCAATGGCAGCATTTTTAGAGCACATCTGGGCTGCCAAAGCTTTTCACATACATTATCTCGGTTACCTTCACAAAGCTTCGTGAAATATGTCAGTGTTCTTTGGCCTATATTGCAGGCAGTAGTTGCAACTGAGGACATTATAGCTACTCCTTATTTATTTATCTTGTTTTATCTGTTTGCTACTTAGTTCATTATATATCGCCTTTCCTCCTAGAGAAAGAAGCAAATGACAAGCAAGGAAACAATGAAAACATTTAAAAAGCAATTCCAATAAGGATGCAGACTGGGAAATATCTTTAAAAGGCTTGTTGAAAGAGGAAGGTCTTAAGTAGGTGCTGAAAAGACAACAGAGGCAGCACATGTCTAATATTCTAGGGGAAAGGATTTCAAAGGCTAGGTGCCACAACACTAAAGGCTCAATTCCTGTGTTGTGTGGAAAGGACCTCCTGATAAAGATGGCATCTGCAGGAGGTACTTACCTGCAGAGCACAGAGATTGATGGGGTAAACAAGGGATGAGATGATCTTTCAGGTATCCTACTGCCAAGCTGTATATGGCTTCATATACCCAAACCAGCACCTTGAACTTAGCCCAGTAGCTGGTTGGCAGCCGGGGGTGTTATAAGCAAGTAAACAACCCAAGGTGAGATGAAATCCAAGCTTTAGTACATATGTTTTGTTGCCCCTTCATACATCTGAATCCATCGTGGAAGAGAATTGCCTTAACAGCCATGAGTACACAGCTATCCTTACAGAAGGCAAGGTGAATGAATTAGTATAAATATCTAAACATGAGCAATAGTGTGTTCTAAGCACATTGAAATAGCACCAGTCAAAAGAAATCCAGAGAGAATTATCCGTTTCCCCAGGCCCTGCCTACGAACGAAGGCCGGGCAAGGGAGGAGCAGGGAGAGAGACATTTCATATTGTAGGTGCCAGATGATGTAGGTAAATTAGTCTGGAGAACAATATACTTCAATTTCAGACAAAGACAGGAACCATCTGGTAAGCATTTCTTTCAGTGCCTTTCTGTACTCTGGGGATATGCAATTTGAATGCATTTGATAGAGAGCGGCCTGAAAATTTCTAATAAAAGGCGAGATTCTTTTATGTCAAGTAAGGCAAAGACATCTACAGCACCATCGTATGTAGGGAGTCTGAATAAATTTGTTGCTGCAGCCAGACATGTGGAAAAGTAGCTGCTCTTGTATGCATTACAAGGTGCTTGTTCCAATTTAATTGCGGTGATTTTGCGCTTGTATTGACACTCTTCTTTTCAGGTCTAATCTGACTGTGTTGGGAGTGGGTCACAAACCTCCTACGATTAGATTTTGAATTCCTTTCTTCTGCTCCGCAAAGAATTGTGGCACTCACTGCCATCCTTTTGCTGTTTCTCACCCTCTTGATCCCACTTGCGTTACAACTGACTGATCTACCAATTTACTAGATGACTTCATGCATCTGAAAAGGTGGGCTCTAGCCCCCCAAAAGCTTAGCCCATGACTTTGACACTGTACAACCCTATGCACCTTTACAATGGAGTGGGCCACACTGAATTTAAATGGGATTTCCATCTGAATAAACAGGCATAGGCCTGGGCTGCATGAGTGAGCCGCGAATCAGGAAACGTGCCATTTAAACCTCACCTTGATCCTAATTCAGTAGCTGGCTTTCGTCAAGACATTTGAAAAATGTCAGTAATATTGGCATACCTTGCAGCCGATATTACAGGGCTGTGGTAAAGAATAGGTATGAGATGACTGAACTGTGCTTTACAAGGAATATTAAATATGGTTGCTGCAGATAATTATTACAGTTATAGTACAGTTTCCAATATTGGGTCTGTGTCCCCACCATAGGAAGGTTTGCAAATAGCGATTATGTGAAAAATTGAATTTAGGCTGCAAGCTAATACCCACTTTCCAGTGGAATAAGTCCCACTGAGCCCAATGGGGCTTTGTTCTGGGTAGATATGTACAGAATTTAAGCATTTTATCTCACTCTGTAGGCAAAAAGCCCCCCTGCCTTATAGCAGTTCACAAAGATAATATAGGTCCTAGTTTCAGGATTAGAGTCTAAAAGGCAAGACACACAAGGAAAAGAGCGGTGGGGAGGGAGGAGGCAAAAAGCAAGCTTGGGAATCAGTTCTTAAAAGGAGCATTTGTCCGGATTGATCTGTGGGGCAGATATACGGCAATGAACATTCATCCACATTTGCTTGCAAGCATGTGTCTGCATCTCCCAGTTAAGTCATTCATTCATCTCACACTTCTCCATGCATTTCCTCCTCACTTTCCAAACTGCAAAAAGGCGGAATCTTTTTCAGTGGATTTCTTGCACTGGAACAACAGAGCCCTTTAATTAGGGTTGCCATATTTCAAGAAGTGAAAATCCGGACACAAAAGTTGTTGAGGGGGAGCAAAGTAGGGTTTGTGTGTGTGTGTGTGTGTGTTTGTTTGCTAACTCTCCTAATAATAATATTGAAGTTTTAAAGCTATTCCCCCATATTTTTACAGAAATTTGCCAAAAATTCAACACTTCTGATATGGGCTGCCATACACCTGGAAGGACAAATCCCAGCTCTGTCTGGAAAATTGGCAGCCAGCCCTACTTTAATCCACTTGAACAGTGCAAAATGGTCCAAGCCTGCGCTTGAATTCATCCTGCAGAACAGTGTCCATCTCCAGGAACCTGCAGTTCTGTTTTCCCCATGCCCAGGCCCAAAAGTTCTATTCACTGATCACTGGACTGCAGTGGCTTCTTCAGCAATGATGAAAACAGCAAACTGGCAAAAGCATTCCATAACATACACCGAAAAGCAATGCCTATTGGCCTTGTTTAAAGGCCAAAGCCGAAAATGGGGGAGGGGAAGCATATGCTGTTGATTCCGAGCAGGAAATGATAATGGAATGTATCTCATGTTGCTCTGAATTCTGAAATCTAAGCTTCTGTGCCAAAAGAAATTAAGAATGCAGGATAAAGCAACGACAACAACAGCATTATATTGCAACAACATCCTGGAACTGAGAGACTGAAGTTTGCTCATAGACATAGAATGGTCCTCCTGGGATCTTCTCGCTGTAACTGTATCTTCTGTTCTGAGAACAATTTACAGTTAGTTAGCAGTTCAGTAATCTTAGGCTGAACAGACATTTCTGAAAAGCCTCGGGAGGAAGCTGTGGGCAAAAACTGTCACTGCAGGCTGCTTCAAAGTAGGCTAAATTTTAGCATCAATATAGAGTTATAAGTTTTGGGGTGGGGCCAAGATTCCCCTAAATTCCTGGAATCAGGAAAGAGTTAGAATTTAACCAAGCCCCCTTAAATCCCAGGATGCAGCAGGGATTGATGCTGATGTAGCCAAGCCAGCCTGAGAATGGCTGAGTCATCAAACAAACAATGGGATATGCACCATTAGCAGAGACTCTGCACCAGACAGGTGGGGCATCTCTTCTGTGCTGGTTAGAAGAGTTGTGTTTCAGAATGGCAGTTGGGGATAATGAAAGCAGGAGGAAAAATGGATTTGCAATGTGCAACCAGCAGCAAGCTGAAAAGGAGAGGGTCAGAGCACTATGGGGGCTGACAGTGGGAATCCAAGATGGCAGCCATGTGAAAAACACATCCCCTCCAACATTTCTCCAGTGAAAATAGGGCCATCCTATTCCATACCTTCCAACATTTCTCCAATGAAAATAGGGACATCCTACCATACCCTCCAACATTTCTCCAATGAAAATAGGGATGTCATATGGAAAAGCGGGACATTCCAGGATCAAATCAGAAACTGGGACGGTTTCTCTAAATCCGGGACTGTCCCTGGAAAATAGGGGTGCTTGGAGGGGCTGGAAACGGGACCCCCTTGACATGTAATGCCAGAAGTCCTTCCATCATGGGCTCAGGTTTTATATGTTTGTAAATAAACCATATATCATGAAGACACCACAGTCTCCACTGTGCCTCATTTCCAAAAGGAAGCCCGAACCCTGGAATCTCGCACCACTCAGAGACTGGGGTGGTGTGTAACAATACTTATGGACAATGAGAGATGCATAAATGATTGCATCTCAGATCCCCACAGATCACCTGCTGCTCAAATCTAGGAGCAAGGGTTCCTCTGAAATCACCACCCTAGTTTCTGTCTAGATTTTGGAGTTCTAGGTCAGCTTGTTTCCAAACCAGTACTGAAGAAGATATCAGGACCTGCTTCTGTTGGACTGTTTGCTCTTCCCTACAGGTTCATCTTCCACCAACTGCCCTGTGGGAAAGATCTTTGGAAAGCAAGGGCAGCATGAGAAGCGTAACCAGGGCCTGGTCCTCCTAGACTACACTCTGGTCCCCATGGAGCCATTTACTACCAACTGCCTGTGGAAAGGATGCTGATGTCTTTTGATATGTTGCTATTGCGGTATTAAATAATGTATTTTGATGTTACTTGGAAGGATTTGTATCATGAAAGGAGGAACGTCAATAAATGAAACCATAAAATAAATCAGGAAACCTCCATAGCTTCATTTGTGAACAAACCCAGGACGAAAGTACATGGCTGAAAGGGGAGTTATGTAACAGCCTGAGGCATGGAAGTTCATCCATAAATTAATTATGGTTTGCAGCAAAAGCCCGGTCAATGACGAAGCAATAAACCAGGGGTTGATGGCACTTGTAAGAGTTAAACTTCAGAAATGGAAGCAGCCTGCACATTTTGCTTTACACAGAACTCGCTGAAGTGTTTGCCGCCTCATGAGTATAGCCTTTTTTTAAAGAGTAATATTTTCCCATCGTAAAGTGCCTTCAAGTGTTTTGTGCATTCTAGTGCTTAGAACGAGAGCCATTGTACACCACTCATCTGTGTTCCATAACAATAAGCACTTTTATTTTTTGGCAAGGAGCACATTGCAAAAGGTGAGAAGGAAGGGGTAAGATTTGCTGTATTATATAAGGTACATGCCCTTACATAGCCCAACTCTTCTGCAAAGTTGAAAAATGTAAAACTTAGTCCTTTCTGACTCTGCTGTCTTGTGTTTTAACCATCTCACATTAGACTACATTCCAGGCATGTGAGCCTATCAAGACTTTGCAAGGAATCTTTGTTCTACCTTGGGAGTCAATTCCTGAAGCATCCCAAGGACTGGGCTTTGTCCTCTCTGAGTGTGCAGCGTTGGCCAGGATCACACAGAGAGGCTCTGTGATTCACTGGTTGCCCCAACAACATGACCACATGCGGTTGCATGGAGAAACCCATTCATCCAACTGGAAATCCCATGCAGTCTCAGTTGGGTTGGAGGCATGCCGGCCAGCAGCCCATCAAACCTCCAGCGTCCAATGCATGGGTACCACATTTTGCACGAACCAGCCCACAGAGGACTGGCTAGATGTGTGAAAGGTGTGAAGGTTAGAGTCCTTTAAAATTTGCATTTAACAGCCCTGGTGCTCCAAAATCACACACAGGCCAATTTAGCACAATCTCTTTCCAGGGTACAAAACGTTGAGAGATGGATCAATGCGCTTTGGATATCGCACAGGTGCCCTACCATGTTCCTTCTACCTAGCTTTCTCTTCTTTTTTTATCATCTCTCCCTCTTTTGAAGTTCACTTGAGAGGATTGTTTGGGTTAGGAAGAGAAAGAGCCAGGGGAGAAGAAATCTCTGCAGCACAGCCTCTAGTGCTTTGGTAAACTTTAAGCTATTGTCTTTCTTGAGGGATTTCCAAAAACCAATTATGGGACAGTTTCTTTTAAAAGGGTAACAGAAAGATGATAAGAAGATAAGTGCAGCCTTGCAGGATCAGACCAAGCGCCTATCTAGTCTAGTCCACAAGCAATGGCTGCAACAGCCCTCTCTTCAAGAGTATTACTTCCAGAGTATTAGATCTAGATGTCACTTACGGACTCATTGTTAAAACTGTGTTTATGGAAGACAATCTTACTTGATTACGAGTGATCGCCAAAGAAGAAGAAGAAGATAAATGTGGTCTGCAGAGCACCAGTGGTCTGCATGCTGCATTTAGGAAGTCCACAGCATGTCTGTGAAGAATGCTGGCAATATGTAGTCGATGGAATTCAAATTGTAATGCAATGAAATGCAATACAGTGTAAGAAAGAAAAGAAGCAACAAGAATAAATGAAAAAATTCATACTGCGATAGCTGATTAGAATTAGCACAAACAGGCAAAAAAAAAGTCTTTAAGGGCTCATCCATAATTCCATTTGCCTGCTGGGAAAACCCAAGGTTTAGCACTTTACTAGAACAAATAGGAAAGTTTTCTGCAGATTTTGTCCCGATTTAGCACTCAAGGGTGGGTTTTCCAGGGGAAAGCAGTGGAGCAGCAGCAAAGGCAAAACCGCTCAGACCCATGCCTAGAAAGTGGAAGTGTAGATGACTCTTAGGTGGTCCGCCGAGAACCTCAGCAATTTTCAAGTGGTCCTTGGCTGGCTGGGTGCAGTTTGGGAATTACTGATCTAGAAAAATAAACAAACTGGAAATGGGACCCTGGAGGGTAGATGGAGATGGGCATGCTGGAAGGCTGGAAGGGAGGAACCCTGAAAGAGGGGCTCAAGCAAGAAGAGCTGAAGAAGAGGCAGGAAAGCAAGATGGGAGCAGTTTTTTGCCTGCTTGTCAAATGCCAAAACTCATCTTGGGGTTGTCTTCTGCTGGGGAGCTCAAATGGAAAGCAGCACCCGAAGCAAGAATCCCCAAAGCTTCCCTCATCCTTCCTGCTGGTTTGGTTTTAAAACCCAGGAGAATGCCGAGTGTTTACTTAGTTGGATATTTCTAAATCTACATTTTTGTAATGATCATAGCCCAGTTTCCTCTCTCTCAGCTCTTCCTTTCCTCAGGCAGAATGCTCTGGCTCTCCAAGCCCACCCCTATGTTTGTAGCTTTCAAGTGTGTCACAGGAGAAGGAAAACAGACACCACACACATATATGGAGGGCTTGGAACAGACACATGGAAAATGTTCAGCTGGAGCCATAGTGAAGCTTCTTTAGAATGCCTTAACAACTCCCTTCTATATGCTTCAAACCCCAGGGGTTCCTATGATGCTCTCATTTGTAATATAAGGAGCCCACAGCACTGTTCAACAGCAATCATGCCTGACCAATCCCATAAAGCCCAGAATTGTCATCACTGTATGCATTGCTATGGCAACTATCTACATTTCAGCTAAAGCCTTTGAGTGCCTAACTATTGCTCAAGCTACAGAGTTTCCCATTTTTATTTTTGTTTTTTAAAAAGGAGCCAAACTCAGCCTTGGCAGGGTATGAGGTGGCTAGAGGAAGGGCAGATGGAGAAATGTTCTCCACTCTTTTCCTTCTGCTCATTATCTGGGCTCAGAACTGCCAGTCTGCTCAAGCTGCTGGTTGTTCATTGGCAGTGGCAGGGGGAATTTTTATCCCCCCCCCTTTCAGGTGAAAAAGCTTGCAGAGGGTGAGTTTGAGCTTGCAGTGCCCAGAGATGGTGCCCAGGTGTTCTGTCTCAGAGCCCTGTATTGATAAGTTCAGTTAAAAGCTAGCAAACAAAAAAACTTCAGGCAGGAAAAAATGGTGTCCTATATCATCAGGGATGGCAAAGATGTTGGTTGAAGCTGATGGGAGCTGGGAGTCCAAAAACATCTGGAAATTTACAGGTTAGTTACCTCTGTCTTATAGGATACTTGATGTTGAGACTCCTGATTCAGTGCTCTATGGTGCATTTACAGCAAGGGTGTGGGCAGAGGGTGGAGTCTTGCCTACATACATTTATAAAACCACACAGTGGCTTATCAAAGTGTAAAGCTCAATCACTGACTCAACAGTATGCTATAGCAAAGAGAGTGACAGTCCTAGGCTTGGGCAAATCATTCTTTTTCAGCCTAACCTACCTCACAAGGTTGTTGTGCAGATAAAATAGGGAGGAAAACCATGTCTGTCAACCTTGCAGGAAGAATGATAACCTTGGGCCTTATGGTAGTATCATCATCAAGATCTCTCAGGCAAAGACAGGTCTCGTAATTATTGTACTTCCCTGCAGGACAATGGGAATCTTTCTGATAAGAATAACAGATGATATATCTCATGGAATCATTTCATATGCCTTAGGTTGTGGATACGATTTAGAATGTACGCACTTACTTTTTACCTTTCATGATACTTAAATCTGTGTATTTATTCTGTGTGTGTCACAGAAACGCACCCCCCAAATGCTATAATTTTCAGTAGTTCAGAATTTAATATGTGTTCTAACAAAGTTTTGGAGGCCAGGAAAATACTCTGTGAGGCAAGAAGGTAAAAAAAAGTCTGAAGAAGAATATTCTGGTGTTAGTTGCAAAATTCAGGACTCATTGGACAGGGGAAAAATAGGTATTGTGCCTTTTAACAGTTAAACATAAAAAAGAGGACAGGACTGTGCAAGGAGGGGGTGGGAAAGGGGGAAGCTGATTCATTTCATGTTGATGGGAGAGTGGAGACAGTCCAGGGCCAGCTGCCAAAACTGTAGGCTGGGAGAGCACTCAAGAGTCACTCCACAGGGAACAGCCTGAAAAGGTAGTGTCTGTTTCTGATGCTGGAGCATCCATCACATGGTGCAGTGCTGTTGTTGCATAAGATGGTATGATCACTGGGGTGCCTCGTGGTTCCAAAATAATATGGGTACCTGCCTCCCTCTATTACAGATTGTACCAGGTCCACACCATGGCTTTCTCCTTTATAACAGGAAATTCTAATTGGCTGGTTTACTAGCTGTTGAGGCCTATCTTTGATCTTAGCACTGTGGGATGACTTTGCTAAGAATGGAGGTAGACGTGTGCCTGCGTATGGGCCTTAAGCTTCATGTCACCTCATGTCATACAGTCCCAGATGACTGACAATTGGGTGGCTGTGCCTATCTGTCAAAAATGGTCCACAGGGGGTCGGCTAGTTCTGAGTCTAGTCTTCTGGCTGGACCCAGTTCCCTACCCTTGTTCTAGGGAGAAGATGGCCTTGTGTCTGGTGAGCTGGGCAGCTGGACCAGTGGTCTGCCTCAGCCAAAGGCAACTTCATTGTGAACAGTGACATAGAAAGGCCAGCTGTCTCTTGGGGCCAAAGCAAGCCTAGGTGTCTAAAATGTGGCAGAGCAGGGCCTTCTCTTCAGTGGCACCAAGCTGATGAGCAAGGTCAGCTTAGCCATTCTATTTACACCTATTTTGCCCCCCAGATCCTAACTACAACAACACCTGTTTGATCAAAACAGTTCCAGGTATGTATACGGCATACATAGGCTTCTTTGAGTGTATCATTTTTTTGTCCAAGGCAGGGCCACCTTTGAACAATTAATCCAGGAACATTCTCTCCCATCACTAGTGGACACCATGGTGAGCCAGGTTCACACCTCTACATCTACAGCATGATGTAGAGCTCACCCCTGCCCCAGCAAGCCCTGCAGAGAGGCAACCTAAGAGTCACAGAACTGTAGATCCACTTCTGAACATGCTTTGAACCCTTCTCTCCCAGCTCTGAGTCTAGTCTCCTTCAAGAACCACCGACCAAAGCCTTGGACCCATCCCAGCTTTCCATTTTCTGCAGAAGGTCCAAGAGCTCCCTGCTCCAATTCAAGGCCCTGCCAATCCTCTTGCTCCACCGCTATCTGGCAATTTCCAAGCACAACCCTCATTAGCGAGGAGCAGGACACAGAAGTGGTGGCTTTCGGGCACATTGCGCAGCCACCACGGCTGCAGAAAAAAGGCAGCCGTGCATATGAACTCTCTAGATCCACCTTGATCATTTTGCCCAACGCTGCAGCGTATAAGGAGCCTAGCTACTGAGATTCCTCTTCCCGGCAAATTCAGTTCAGCAAAAGCTTTCATGTTCAGTACAGTGCATCATCTCCTGGGAGCTTCCTTTAACAACACTTATAAATGAGAAAACAAGATAACTTTAGACTGCACAGCTGCGGGGGTGGAAAATGGGAGGGAGGGGGAGTGTGAATCCATCCATTTGCTCAAAAGGCCACCAAAATATAATGCATTGCTCTAATAAGATTGGAAGGTGTGGGATTGATTCAACTTTTCACCCCTTCCCCAAACTGTTAAGAGACATGCCCCCAAATTTTGCAGCTCAGTGTCTGCTGTAAAAAGTGGTTCTTTCAGTGAAATTAGAAGGGAGAACAATCTGAGGGGGGCGGGGGACTCCTACAGAATATATCCAAAGGGCTACTATTTTTTTTAAAGGGAAAAAAGGGGGGTTTTTATTGCTAGGCCACATTCGCACAATACATTTAAAACAGTCTGTGATACCACTTCAGATAGTCATGGCTTCCCCCAAAGAATTCTGGGAGATGTAGGTCAAGGGTGCTGAGAATTGTTAGGAGACCCCTATCCCTCTCATAGAGTTACAATCCTCAACATGGTTTAATGGTCCATATTTATGCACAGGAAACTTTGAGAATTGTAGCTCTATGACCTACAGCTTTCAATGTACACACCAGCAGCACCAGGTATATGGAGCTGAGGGGGCTTAAGCTTCCCCAATATTGAGGGGGGCCGCCCCCTGCTGTCGCTGGGTGCCTCTGAGCACCCCACCCCAACCTCTGCCCAGCAGCTCAGGAGCCAGGCTGTGGCTGGGACAAGTGAAGCAACGATCACCCATGTTGTCCCAGCCGCTGCTGAGTTTTGACTCTGTAAAAAAGAGCTTTGGGTGCTGGGTGAGACCTGGTGTGCAAGCAGTGGATTCTGGGCTACTTGTTGGCATGTTTAAACCCTGTCTTCACTGATGCACTGTCTGTAGACTTGTAAATAAATGCAAATATTACAAAACCCCAATACTGTATGCCTCATGCCCGCGCCTTCCAAAGGAAACCAAACCTGGATAAGCTCTGCAGCCCTGGAGCTGCTCAGAAAAGTGAAGGGAGAATAACAATGTTGCAGAAGCCTTTTAGGACTGGGCTCTTGGATTATTATTAATATTGGCAAGGTACAGGCGGCTTTCAAAAGAACAATGCTCTAATGTTTGTGAACTCATTAAAAAACCCATCTGCTGGGTGGCTTCTGCAGATCAGAGAGAGCAGAATCAATAGGCACACACACACAAAATAGAACTTAAGAACAGGAAACACAATTTGAGTTGAGTTTTGCTTTTCAATGTGGGAATTGTTTCAAAAAGCTCATTTACAAATATATATATATGGCTGTGGTGAGCAGCCTTTTGCAGTAGGTGCACACACACATATTTTTCAAAGGACTTGTGGGGATCAAATTGCGTCTGATGAAAAACACAACATAAAACGTCTTGTGCCTGTGGCTTCGTCATGCTGGCCATATGACCCGGAATCTGTCTGCGGACAGAAGTCGGCTCCCTTTGCCAGTAAAGTGAGATGAGTGCCACAACCCCAGAGTCGTTCATGACTGGACTTAACGGTCAGGGGTCCCTTTACCTTTACCCCTCTCTCTATGGGCTCTGCCACACTTTCACTCATGCCGTGCCTGGAAAGCATGGATCTGGGCCACTTTCTAGGCATGGCTTTGAGCAGCTTTCGTCTTGCCCCACTCCTTTCCTAGGGAAAACCCACTCTTTGGCGGTACATTGGAACAAACTGCAATCCAGGGGAAATCTGGAATGATCGTTTGCTCCAACTGAGTGCTAAACAGCAGTTTTCCCCAGGTGAAAGCAGCGGGACAACAGGAAGTGTGGACAGGGACAAATAAAAGAGGACACCTTCGCCCTGGTATTGCTCCCCATTATTATACACACAGCCCTACAAGACAACAACAAGAACCCACCAACAGCATCCAAACTGATATGACTCACTTGACCCAAAAACCTCTCCCTCCACACGCATGCAAACAAGCCTCGCTGCAGTCAGCGGAAGCTACCAACCAGGCCCAGACCCCAGACCCGCGCCCCCCAAACCTCTCTCAATACCAATGAAAACTAATACAGTAAAGGAATAGAAAGAGAACCTACCCACGTGACACTGACACAAAACCTCACACACACACACTATGCAAAAGAATGAAAGTTTTATTACCCACCTTCCCTCCTTCCCCACTCCCCCTCCCCTGCCCTTATACCGTATACAAAATCAAAGTCTCACATTGAATATCACTGATGTGTAGAAAGGACTTTATGATGTGAAAATAGAGATGGTGTGTGTACCTTGTAAAACCCCGCTCCCCATCTTAATACAGTCATACCTCAGAAGTTGAATAGAATCTGTTCCGGAAGGCTATTCAACTTCCAAAACATTCGGGAACCAAGGCATGGTCCTGCAGCCAATCGGAAGCCGCGGAAGCTGTGTTGGACATTCAGATTCCAAAGAACGTTCACAAACCAGAACAAACACTTCCAGGTTTGCTGCATTCAGGAACCAAAACCAAAAGGTGTTTGACTTCTGAGGTACGACTGTATCTTAATAAAAATATTTTTTTTAAAGAGGAAATGTGGATAAGGCCTTTCCCTCACATGGCCTAAGGGAAGATTGGAAGCTGTCGCCTCTGCTTTTACTCACCAGAATTATCCATCAATGCTCTGATTAAGGTACGGTTAGTTCAAACCAGCCAGGATCGATCCATGGTGTATGTGCCTGGCTTCTTCACTAACCTTAGTTTACTAACCCAAGTTCAAGCTTAGGCTGTGTATACCCTAATCTTTTCTCTGGCTCCACTGGGCCCCCACCACTGCAGATTGTAGCAGTATCTACAATTCATATCTGGTCGTTTCTTGAGAAAGGCTGCTGTTTGATGTGTTTTCTCTCAAACCAGCTTCCCTCCAATTAAAAAATGTAAGCTACACTCGCTTTGCAGTTGAGCTGACGTGTGTACACTTAAGATGTCATGGTGTACGTGTAGACGACAACTTCATGAATGAGTTCAGGGCATTGCAGGCATGGGAAAATCTAAAAGGTGATGTGCAGGGCTTTTTTTCAGCCAGAACTCGCCGGAACCCAGACCCGGCATCTCTTAGGTGGGCACCATTGCCATTATAAGAGAACAAGAGAGGCATTCATGGTGAGTTCTGGCACCCTTTTTCTAGAAAGTAGTGCTGGTAATGTGCATCAGGCAAAGCCATCCCTGCCCCCTCTCGGGTGTGTACAGCAATGTGCAAAAGCCCCTGGAAATGGGCTGGGGGGCCAAATCGACCTTGTTGCATTTTAAGCCATTAATAGCCTTTATATGAATTTCTGGTTAGTTCATAAATGGAAACAGATGTTTCTGATCTCCTCACAGCTGTGCCAGAGAAGGAGGGCAGGCACATGAGCTTTGAGGCTGCTTCAAGCTCATTCACGTAAAGCTTAGCAACTGTTTCGGGTTCCATCTGAATTAGTTTGAACCAGCCCATTGAGCTTCTGTCATTTGGAGATACAGTATTCAATTTGGCGTGTTGATTTTTCTCATTGTCAGAAACACTTCTAACTGGGGGCTGCCATCCAGTGGTACTCCTGGTGGTTTGTGGAAGACTTCTGAGATGCAGTGCTCCCTGAATTCAGTAACAGCTTACGACAAACATGAAAAGTGTTGTGGCAATCACGGTTCTATTCCACACACACACACAAACACTGTTAGCCTTACAGAATGGTACAGTGCGGCACTGTTTCACTAGCTGTGAAAACAGCTGTTATTGCAGAACCATCTCCCCATGATCCATCATGAAAATTGTACGAAGGTTGGGTGGAAGAACTTACTGTTGCATAGAAGAGGGGATTCGGTATGGCACAGCTGGGGTCTGAGCACAGCAACCACCCACCGCTGCATGAACTATGAGGCTTCCTCTGTTACTTCTTAATAGATATTGGAAATCAATAAAATAAAACCCTCCCACTAAAATTAGGACTGATTAAATACTATGGCAACAGTATGGGATCCTCAGCTGTTACTGCATTTGAACAATAAGGCAAATGGGGCTTAAATGGGTCCAGGGTTATTTATTGCTCCTTGTTCAAAAGTGTTGCATGGACCAAGTCCTTCTTCACAGCTTGCTATGGGCGTAAGCCATGATGCAAGGACTGGAAGAGACTGGCCGTTTATGCCTCTGCACTGTAGCATTAGCAATGTTTTTGTTTTCTAGCCTGACCTTCAACATGTCTTTTAAGTGTAGGTCAGGGGTAGGCAACCTAAGGCCCAGGGGCCGAATGCGGCCCAATCACCTTCTCAATCTGGCCCGTGGACAGTCTGGGAATCAGCGTGTTTTTACATGAGTAGAATATGTGCTTTTATTTAAAATGCATCTCTGGGTTATTTGTAGGGCATAGGAATTCGTTCACCCCCCCCAAAAAAAAAATATATAGTCCGGCCCACCACATGGTCTGAGGGACATGGCTGAGAAAGTTTGCTGACCCCTGATGTAGGTAGTCACAACACAGGCCTTGTACTTTGCAGCAATAACATTGCTTAGAGTTTGGGGTGGGGGAGGAAATAGGCTGTATGCAAGATCCTTTTAACTCCTGGATCCAGGAAGTGTTAAAATATAACCAGGCTGTGTTGAGGTGATCGCCTGGGTGATGGGCCATTCAGAGAACAAACAAAAGCAGGCTTTGTGAGAGATGGCAAGTGGCTGGGGCCCCTCCTTCAACTCAGAGATAGCTAGAAGAACAAAGCCTGAGTTGAGAGTTGAGAGTGAAGGGATGTGACCTAGAAATAAAGCAGAAAGCTGGAGAGAGAGGCAGAGCAATGTTTGATTTCTGTTTTAATCCAAGGCTGTGGCTATGGGAGAAACAAGACTCTCTGAATCACAGAATCATCAAGTTGGAAGGGACCTCAAGAGTCATGCAATGCAGGAATCTCAACTAAAGCATCTATGACAGACGGCCATCAGACGGAATCAGTTTATTCAGAAACAGGTTAAAGTGGGAGTTCTTAAATACCTCCGTGAAGAGGTTTTGACTTAAACACAGTATTGTGCTTTTTTTAGAGTAACCATCAAGCTATAACCCTCACTGAGTGTGTTTAAATAAACTTCCAGTTTATTTAATGCTTCATTGTTACTTTGCTACTCTGGTTGAAGGATAAGAGGCCACAGGTTTCCCCTTCAAATTATTAACGATCCTTGCTGCTGAATATTAGAAAATGCTCCCACATACAGATAATATCAAACCTCTCAAGTATTACTGACAGGGTGTGTCTAGATTTTCCAGCACCCAAATCTGATCACATTACCTCACTCCCATCTTTATTGAGGGAGGTTGCCACACACCCCAACACACTACCTTTGTGTTTTGTATGACACAGATTCACGTGTCAATCCCTTTGCACACGTATTAGGGAGTAAGCCTCATGGAACAATCTGGGATTTCGAATAATATATGCCCAAACAGGATCTAGTAAGAGATGGGGAGCAGGTGGCGATGTGGTCTAAGCCACTGAGCCTCTCAGGCTTGCTGATCAGAAGGTTAGCGGTTCAAATCTATGTGACGGGGTGAGCTCCCATTGCTCTGTCCCAGCTCCTGCCAACCTAGCAGTTCGAAAGCACGCCAGTGCAAGTAGATAAATAGGTACCGCTGTGGCGGGAAGGTAAACGGCGTTTCTGTGCACTCTGGCTTCCATCACGGTGTTCCATTGCACCAGAAGCGGTTTAGTCATGCTGGCCACATGACCCAGAAAGCTGTCTGTGGACAAATGCTGGCGCCCTCAGCCTGAAAACGAGATGAGCGCCGCTCCCCATGGTTGCCTTTGACTGGACTTAACTGTCCAGGACCCCTTTACCTTTTACCTTTATAGTAAGAGCTGTTCAACAGTGGAACAGATTCCCACAAGAGGTGGTGGACTTTCCTTCCTTGGAGGTTTTAAAGCAGAGGTTAGATGGCGTAAGGGCCAGAATAATAGTTGGGCAATATGAAATCCAATGCAATAGTTGTGCTAGCTGCCAGATGCCTCCAGGCACCTCCTTTTCCTTTCAGTTTCTCACGTGGCTCTATAAATTTGGAGCAAATAATGCTTTTGCCAAAAATTATTCCTGTCCCCAGATTTCCTGCTTGCAGAATCTGTAGTAGCTCAACCATTACAAACAGCCACTGCAAGTGTTTACAGAAGATTCCTCCCCGTGCTTTCAGGGCATATTAGAAGACTCAGATTTTCACACACAATTATTAGTGAATAGGGCAGAAGATTGATTAACTCCATTAGGGAGTAGTTAATGGATGGGCTAGTCTGGTTTTTTCTTTGCTTCAGTTGTGTATGGTGAAAATTCTTGGCAGCACAGGGGATATTAACAGAGACACAATGTTCAGCCAGGCCCCACTCCAGCTGTAGTTGTGTGCAATTAGTGCATAGCTAATGACGGCTCTAGAGGTGGATATGTGGATTCCTGTTTGCAGCAAAAGATGTATCTAGATTCTAGGCAGTTCAATTGGCCCCACATAAGCAATGCACTATGGATGCACATCCAGACATTTGCAAAGTCTGCAGAGTTCTGCCAAACTCTGATCTTTTGCTTCCTATTGTAAGCTTTAAATCATGGGTAGGCAAACTAAGGCCCGGGGGCCGGATTCGGCCCAATCGCCTTCTAAATCCAGCCCACGGATGGTCCAGGAATCAGTGAGTTTTTACATGAGTAGAATGTGTCCTTTTATTTAAAACGCATCTCTGGGTTATTTGTGGGGCCTGCCTGGTGTTTTTACATGAGCATAGAGAGAGAGAGCTCTTTGAAAATGTGCACCAATCTATTTGGTTTTCTAGTAAGGGGGGCATTCTTTCTTTTCCATAGTTTTTGCAATTTTAATTTTAAAACCATACATATTAAGGAGAAGGAGGAGGCGGCAGGGGGAGAGAGATCCACAGTGCTTCATTTATAGAAAACGACAACTATTTAAATAGCTTCTACCTTTGCCCAGAAGCATATAACCTCCTCTCCCTTTATAGGCTTTCCCCCCTGTGTTTCATCAGCACATCTCAGCATTGATTGCAATCTATAGACTGCAAGGTCTAGATTAAGAGTCACGTGACTTTTAGCCTCTGGGCAATGCATTCAGCCATTATCGGTTGTCCATCCAAGCAAAGAGAAGCCTTCCTGTGTTACCAGGAGCCTTTGGGAATACGTTAGCCTTGAATCTCGCCTCTGAAATGCTGGAAAAAATAAATAAGGTGCCACCCTTTTTCTGTGCAGATGGAAGTTCTGCATCGAGCAAGAGCAGCTTAAAGGGGAGACTCTTTATGAGTGAAATTAATTGGTAAAGCTCCTTAGCCTAAAACTCCAAATGAATAATAAAAAGTCTAGCTTCATCACTAACATATGAGCCAGAAATTGGGAGTTTTTCATATAGCAGGAGACATCAACCATCATCCAATGATTTCATACCATGAGTGCTTCATAAGGTAAGCTAGAAATCAGAAGAGCAGGGGCTGCCCTGTTCATTTTGAGTATGAAAATATTTCATGCAAAGATGCTGATTTTAGGGGGGTGGGGTGGGATGATAACAACTGACTGGTGCACTTTTACAAAACAAAATCAGGTTTCCTATTGAAAATTCTTGCTCTTTGTTTAAATTATTGATTTTTGTTTTTGTTTTTGTACTACACTCCCCATAGTGCCCCAGGTTTACATTTAAAATGAAGCTCCTCTTCCACTTGAGCCAGCGGACTTGCTAAAGTTGCAGCCACAGCAAAGCTGAGAAAGGTTCCGATTCCAAGTGGGAAACTGGAATCTTCCTTGTAAGCAGACCTTCTCATGAATGAGCACCCAAGTAAGAGTCCTGCTTATTCGTATTATGCTTCTCTAACAGCCTTCCTCAACCTAGTGCCCTCCAGATGTTTTGAACTACAACTCCCATGATGCACAACCACACTGGCTATTCTTGCTGGGGCTTATGGGACACATAGTCCAAAAACTGTGGAGGGCACCAGGCTGGGGGAGGATTTTCTGTCAGTTTTATACTAGTTTAATTACCATTCCTTTCTCCACAGAATCCTGGGAATTGTAGTTCAGTGACCCTGTTGAAAACTCTGTTAGAAATTCCTAGTGACTGCTGCACTCCTTTACATAACTACAGTTCCCAAGGTCCACCGCCCGGGCAACAGCAAATAATTATTAACACCGTTTGCCTGTAGTGTGCATATGCCTCAAAAAGAAAAAGCCATGGGGGTTTTCCTCTAGCGAATTCAACAGCACAGTCTCTTCTTACAGCTACATTTCTCAGTTTTCCTAATTAATGTGTGACAAATGTTGAGAAAGTCGGGGAGGGGGGAAGGGAGGCAAGTAGCTTTGAAAATACTTCCCACCTTGATTTTTGGAATCACGTTTGGGATGATTCAAGGCCCTTTTACTTCCGTCTGTCGTTCACAGTAGTGAGCACAAAAAAATAAATAGAAGTGCTTTGACGGTGGGGTTGCTGCTTCTCCTTGGCCCAGTCCCACAAGTAACCTTCAGAAAAGGGAGATTGCACAGAATAAAGAAGATGCTCCTATGTTTTGCCCAGTAGCACTACTGGTAACCAGGGCAAGGAGCCCCAAGCAGCACCTTGGGATCTAAGGTCTACAGCTGTTCTCCAAGCCTATAGCATCATCTCAGGCCAGCCTAAGAGCTATAGCTTCGAGGAGGAAATGGCTGGTTCTGCACAACATGGAGTCTCTGTGCTGTAAGGATGGGGAGAACTAAGAGGTATCAGCCACAGAAGCTTCCATTAATTTCCCCCTCAGCCCTGAGCCAGTTTCAACCGAATAATAATAACTGATGAAACACATCAGAGGCAGCCTGAACCAGCTGTGGGAAAGTGAGGCTGCGCCATTTTGAATAAGGCTACCTACCTCCACAACCTGTCAGGGATGACAACTGATAGCCAATTGTTTGGACTTACTTAAGTCGGCTAGAAAAGAGAGGGAATGATGGGCTCATGATGACCAACTGGGTGACTGATGGAGCCCAGCTCTGCTACAAAGAAATCTTCTCCTTGCAGATATTTGGAGTGATGGCAACACCCACTTCTGACGGATCCGTCGAGAAAATGTTGGGAAATGTGCATCTGTGTTTATTTTTGTAACATGATAGCTTTCTATAAAGGCCCTTTCTAGACAGCCTGCAAGACTTTCACCATGGAAACCATTAGGCTTGGCAATTTATTTTTGTAGCTGTTAAAAGATCTGCATCACCCGGGCTCTGAATTTTTATACTGATTCAGCTAGAAATTGAGCAGCAAGAGGAATAAAAATTCCCTCCCTTCGTGCATTCAACTAAAACTATCCATGCCATGACATTTTGTTCAACCTTAGTATTATTTCCCCATACATGTCACCTCTCCCCTTATGGATGACACAGTCAAGTTGTTACCTTTTGCATTTATTTATAAGCAAAGAAAAGAAAATGGAGAGGCTTTCATCTTCTTGGCAACCACATCCTCTGACCTGGTTTCTCCTATATGTGAGGATACATAGAATGGTCAAGGACCATATATTCTGCTGAAGTGCTAAATATGCAGGATGTGGAAACAGCCACAGAAGTCACGCCATGTTGAGAATCTCAGCATTTTTAAAAGGAGCAAGTTTCCAGTCCCTATGGCCATGAAGATACACTTTAAAATGTGCAGGAAATACTTCCTGGAATCTCAGAAGGTTGAAGGGGAGGCTGAAACAGAGTTTCAGGTCAGGCACAGAATGTCAACACTCTGCAGGGCTCCTCATCCCCTCCATACAGCTGGCAAAATCAGAGATTGTGCATAGGATGCAAACTGCAGAAATGTTCAGAATTCATTATACAAAATAAGACAGATTACCGAATTTTCATAATTTATACCAGACGCAGAATTCGGCTTTCCTTGCTGCACGGTTCAGATTGCCAATGTAACAAATTTATCATCAATTTTGCACATGGCCCAAACCATGGTGTCTTTATTTATATGCTTTTCTTTTGTTTGCCTTGCGTACTCAAAGAGTCTACTCAACAGACAGAGATACTGCTTTGTGCAGATGCATTCTTTCATATACCCTGGAGTGTTGGGGAAAGGACTCGGGATTATAGTTAGGCTTTACTCACTGGCTGTTCTCCTAACAAGAAACAAAATCATCAGCATTCAAAGAAGATGGTGAGAGAATGCTCCTAAATCCTCCCAAACCAAAAGATATTTTTTTTCTCCACCCGGTCATTCGTTGGGTTTGTTATGCTCCCAATAAGCAGCTTTTGTGGTCATTACGGGTCCCTACTGTGCTCTGAAATTTACTCATCCAGATAAGCTGTTTACTGCATCCTGAATGCCATAACCTTCTCCCATGACCTTAATCATTCTAATGAACAGTCTATGTTGGAAAGGGAGTCATTTTCACAGTCTTTTAGGCTTGGCTGCAACCAAACATACCTGCAAAAAGCCTTTCAAAGGGGTCCCACCCTCTTAATTTATCTGCACCCTTTACAGTTTGGTTCCTAATGGGAACTCCATGCTCAGTTCACGCCTTTGAGTCCAGCTCCAAAACGTTGCCATCTGGATTCTTAGAGCTCAGGGGAAGGGGACCTGAGGTCACAAACCTGAAACATGCTCTTAACCTTTCATGTTAAGATGGGATATTGCTCTTAAAAAAGAAAGAAAGAATGAGTGCAAGCACTTTGGAGGTGCTAAGGCGTCATTTGTTGTTGTTCCTCTGCCTGCCTGCCTCCCCTGCTCTTCTGAAGCAACAGAGATGCCAGGCTAGCAGATCTGCAGCAGTGAATTAAATGTACTGACACGGTAATAATACACAGTGCAGATGAACCTGCAAGAGCCAGCCTCCGCTTCTGCAGTGCTGCGATGAATGGGCTCCTTGTGACTTTCACAGAGCAGCCACTGCAGCACAAGAAAACAGAGAGGTGTGTTGCTTGCCAAAAGCTGATTAACAAGCAAATAGAATATAGATGGACATGGGAATGCAAAAAGAGGGGGGGTAACACTGGGTGAAGGATGCTCCCCCAAACCTTTAGTTTAACTGCTGAGCAGGACAGAGAGAATGCACAGCACCCTATGGCATCTTAAAGACTAATATAATTGTTGCGGAGAGAAGAGCTTTCGTAGACATGATGATAATCGTGTACACTGATTTTCCCCACCCCTCCCGGGCCTTCAGCATCTCCTGGCAATGAGAAATGTGCCGGCCTTTTAAGATGCCGTGGATTCTTCACTGCCTATGTTAAGACACACCAAGATTAGGGCTCTCTTTTGGAATAAGCCACAGAAAAGTGATCGTGCAGTCAGCAAAGAGAGGGTTAAGATTCCTTTCTCTTCTTGCTGTAACCCGCTCTCCTCCGAACAGGACCTGACAGCGAGTTGGTGTGAGTTTGCATTTCCCCTTCAAGCTGAAATTTAATCCCACGAAACATTAATATCTCTGGAACCAGCAATGGCGGTGGGGAGATTTGCAAAGAAATGTTTGCTGACTCATGAAAGCTGGTAGATCTTGTTCTCTCCGAGAAATAAAAAGAGCTGGCTTCCCAATGCCTGCCTGTTATACGGTGGGATGGGACCAATGAACACACCAGGTTCTGAGGCGTTCTCCAAACAGTCAAATTGGAGTTGCAAATGAAATGCTCTGGCCAGATTTATGCTGAAAATTTATATGGTGATCATTTCCCCTTCCCGGGGAAATGTAAAGAGTTGAGCTCTGTGAGGTGGAAGAAGCCAGGGGGCTCGTAACACAGAAATCCACAACACCTCACCAAACTCCAATTCTGAATATTATTCAGAGAGAAAAACAGGAAAGGTATAAAAGCTACATGTTTGTGCAGTTGTGCTGTTTGTTGCTATTATTGAAGTTACTGGGTAGGTACGTCTAAGCCACAGAGCTGGAAGGTAGGATCGAACCATAGGCCTCCACACATAAGTAGACATAGCCAAGGTTGTTTCGGGAATGGCTGATCTAGGGCAGGCCGGCAGGGTTTCTGACTCCCTGAGTCAAATGCAGACAAGCAGCCAAATACTTGGGTGTTCCTGGTGACTGACAATCCACACTATTTTGGCACTGCCCAGCAGGCAGCAAACATTGGGGCTTGACTGTGCAAGGCTGACACAAGGAAATAAGGTAAAAGATGCCTGCTTCTTGGGAGAAAAGCAATGACAAACCTAGACAGCATCTTAAAAAGCAGAGACATCACCTTGCCAACAAAGGTCCGTATAGTAAAAGCTATGGTTTTCCCAGTAGTGATGTATGGAAGTGAGAGCTGGACCATAAAGAAGGCTGATCGCCAAAGAATTGATGCTTTTGAATTATGGTGCTGGAGGAGACTCTTGAGAGTCCCATGGACTGCAAGAAGATCAAACCTCTCCATTCTGAAGGAAATCAGCCCTGAGTGCTCACTGGAAGGACAGATCGTGAAGCTGAGACTCCAATACTTTGGCCACCTCATGAGAAGAGAAGACTCCCTGGAAAAGACCCTGATGTTGGGAAAGACTGAGGGCAGAAGGAGAAGGGGACGACAGAGGACGAGATGGTTGGACAGTGTTCTCGAAGCTATGAACATGAGTTTGACCAAGCTGCGGGAGGCAGTGGAAGACAGGAGTGCCTGGCGTGCTCTGGTCCATGGGGTCACGAAGAGTCGGACACGACTAAACGACTAAACAACAACATACAACACTATGCAAAGCTTGGCTAGTCACAACCCATACAGACCTGCTTATCATCCATAAATAGCCCTTGTTTATATGGATACCAAATGCAAGGGTTGTTTTGGATGTAAACTCTTGTGCTGACCCGTAACCCTTATGCTGTACTGTTCTTGTAGCACATTGTAAAATCCACCATCTAGTCCAACCACCTGCCATGCAGGAATATGCAGCTGTCCCAGACTCGAACCTGCAACCTTGGCATTATCAGCACCATGCTCTAGCCGTCTGAGCTATCCAGCTGATCAATATGCCAAGGTCACTCACCTGAGATAAAAGTGGCAAATCTAGTGCCTTGACTAAGCAAGGGCTCTCCCTTTTCTCTCTCGCTTGCAGTGCTTCACTGCTGAACATGTTAATCACTGCCGAGACTGAAATAACCTAAGGGAATATCATCCCAGAATTATGTATTCCATTAACAAGCCTTCTACTTTAAGTCTGTATGCAATATTCAGAAGTAACAGAGTGGGAACTTCTCTCCTGATTTGATTCTCCATCTTTCAGACTCAGCAGGTTGAGAATTTGGAGGATGCCCATTTTAAAAAGGAAAGATTCTGGATGAGATTCACTGAAAAATTGACATCTCTGAGGGAGCCATGCCTGTGCCACTCAATACCAGCTAAAAATGTCAATGTCCCTATTCAATCTGCAGCTGTGTGTATTTACTGATGTAATTGAAAGTCCAGCCAAACAAACAAAAAAAGAAAAGAAAAGAAGAATAAGAATAAGTAAGAGTGAATGTTTTTCAGTTTTGGTTTATGACACTCAGGGACATTTAATTTCAAACACAAATACTTGTTTGTTTGGGGGGACATGCCTACCACTGTGAAAATATATTAATTCTTTATGAACAATCCAGATTTGGAATCAGATCTGCTTAGTCCCTAAGTGGGTTAGTGACACCCTCTTTTTCTGCACAGGCATCCTATAGAGAGGCCCATCTAAGCTGAGCAAGATTCCGGAGGCAAAATGTGCCTTTATATGCAAGCTGAAGCAAAATTTGTCACTGACATGATAACATTTCCTTTTGTTGACCCCAGCATCAGCAAGGATGCATATGCATAGTTGCCTATCAGGCTGTAAGAAGCAGTCTGCCAGCCAAAAGTTTGTCTGGACACAAGTTGTCTCCAGATTATCAGCATTTTCCAGAGGGCATCAAGTGTATACCAGAAATTTAGGTTTGCAAAATTAAAGTAGAGTATATGACTCTGCTGCCCTGACATAATTCCCTCCACTTAAAAAATAAATAAAAAACAGACTGTTTGCAGTTAGGAAAGTGACAGGAAAATGCACTGTGAAGTGTGATATTTACAAATGATTAGCAGGAAGATGTGGAAACAATCATGATGAATGCTTGTTGCCCTCTAACCTCCCTGCTGACAAATCAGGACAAATGTTCAGTAAAGACCAGCCAAAGGACCTGCACTCTCTGCATAGAATCGGAGGGTTGGAAGTGTTGAATAGTGGAAAAGACGGACAAAGGACACGGCTTTGTTGGATTCACAGCTCTTTATTGCAGCAGTTAGAACTGCTGGAATCAGACTGACTGCAACCTAGCTGGCTGCTTTATATAACACTAAGTAACTTGAAACAGTAACAACTCACAACTAGCTAACCAATCAGGAGCAGCAGTTTTCAATCCTTCATTTACATACTGGTGGCCCTGAGTGAGAACTGCCATTAATCTTAATACATAACAGGAGGGGACCCCAAGGGTCATCTAGCTCAACCTCTTGCAATTCAGGAGTCCCAACTAAAGCATCCATGGCAGATAGAAATCCAACCTCTGCTTAAAAACCTCCAATGAAGGAGAGTCCACCAGCTCCCGAGGGAGACCGTTCCACTGTCTAACAGCTCTTGCTGTCAGAAAGTTCTTTCTGATGCTGGAATCTCTTTTCCTGTAACTGGAAGCCCTTGGTTTGAGTCCTACCACAGCTGTCGTCATTAGCCAGTGGTGACACATCAGAGAGAATCCTCATTTCAGCACCACCGCCATTTTGCAATTTAATGCCCAGTTCACTTTATGCCTTTGTGTGTTGAACACCTGAAGAAAGCTCATATGCTGGTTGTTTGTGTGCATTGAGCAAAGGGCAGCTGTTTATTTAGCACACCCCTACTATTCCCCCACTGTAACACATTACCAGCCTGACTTGCTGGATGGATAGCAGCGCTGTACCTGAACTCTGATCCCGTGTGCTATTTAACGCCGTGAAGTTTAAAGGTAAATGTTCGACAGTGGGAGGTTCATGCTTCGAATACTTCTCGCGGAATGAAAGTCTGCCCAAAAGTTAATTGACTCTACAAATCATCTGTAGCTCAGTGATTAACAGGCACTAACTAACAACATCAGAACAGCAAGACGAAGGAGGCATTGGAGCTTCAAGGCGGCCTAGGGATGGATGAAGAATTAGACTGATTTTAATTATCTATGCAAATTGCGCTTGACATCTAGAAATCCAGAAGGCTGAAAGCAAAAATGTGAACTCAATATATCATTCCATTAATCAAATAGGTTAAGCCCGGTGTCTTGAGTGATTAATTAGAGCCGGTGCCTGGTTTTTTTTAAGCAACCATGGGCAGATGCAGAAACCCACTCAGGGCATGGCCTTGGTTGTGTGATGTTTATCTGCAGGAATCTCCCTAGTTGCACAGCTCCATTTGCAATGAGGGGTTCTGGGCTGGGCAGACCGAAAACTCATTCCTGGAATTGCCATCTTGCTTTTTGAAAACGTAAGGGTTGACCAAGACCAATATAATGGACATCCAGAGTCCTCAACAACGGCCGAGGCTTTGTGGAGATAAAGGCTTAGACCAGGGAAACACAAAAAATCGGGCCTCAGCAACTTGCAATCCAACCTACCACTTCCTGGCTCCGAATTAATCTCTTTTTTTTGTTTTTGTTTTTCTGACACTGAAAAACTGGGGAATTACCATGCATCTGGTAACCCACAATACATAGCTGATAGGCTGCACTGGTCACAAATCATATTGTCCAATCGTTAATAATCAATGGGATTCCCGAAACACAATTTTTGCAGATACCAGAACAGAGAGACTTGTAGCACCTTAAAGGTAAAGGTAAAGGGACCCCTGACTGTTAGGTCCACTCGTGGCCGACTCTGGGGTTGTGGCACTCATCTCGCTTTATTGGCCAAGGGAGCCGGTGTACAGATTCCAGTTCATGTGGCCAGCATGACTAAGCCGCTTCTGGTGAACCAGAGCAGCGCACGGAAACACCGTTTACCTTCCCACCGGAGCGGTACCTATTTATCTACTTGCACTTTGACGTTCTTTCGAACTGCTAGGTTGGCAGGAGCAGGGACCGAGCAACGGGAGCTCACCCTGTTGCGGGGATTCGAACCACCGACCTTCTGATCAGCAAGTCCTAGGCTCTGTGGTTTAACCCACAGCGTCACCCACGTCCCACCTTACAAGCTATCATATAAGAGACAGACAGACAGGTTTCTGTGTCTGCCATAAGCTTTTGTGGACTAGACCACACTTCAGATAAATTTATGGCTTTGTGTGCACGCACGCATGTATGTATGTATGTAAACACAAACCTGGGTACATGTGCTAGTCTTTAAAGTGTCAAGATTGTTGCTTTTCTTCACAACAGAGGAAGAAAGTCTGCCCCTCTGGATTTCTGTGTAAAGAGCACAATAATATGTTTTCTACAGCCCTGGTCAGAAAATTTGTGCAAGGATCAAGGGGGTATGTGGTGTGTGTGTTTGTCATTTATCTCCCTCTCCCAAAAGACCTGCCAAGAAGGCCTCATTGCCATAGCTACCACACCCCTGTTGACACTCTCCTCCTTGTGTGTGTGTGTGGCAGGGAGGGAGAAGTAGAGACATGTGATGCAATTGCCTAGCAACAAGTAGAAGGCAAAGGCCTGGCGAGAGATGCAAGGAGTTTGAGGCTCTGAGGGCCGCCATCTCCCCTCCCCATTGTCTGAAACATTGTCGCAACCTGAGTTGGCAACCTGTAATTTTATTTTATTTTTAAATCTTTCTTATTAGAGATTTTTTTTTTAAAAAAAAATATTCAAATGGCTTCAAGGCATGTGTGCTAATTTGAGCAGACAGCACTCCCACAACATTGGTGAAGGCCCCCTTTATGTCAGTTACAACATAAAGCACAATTTAGGATAACTGCAGAGAACTAATTTTTTAAAATCAATAAGGAAAACTAATATTTCCCCCTGTTTTCTCACTGTACAATAGATTTCACCCAGTTGTGCACACACAGATAAAGTCAAATTGCTGTTACTGTCATTAGGCAGGATAGAAATATTTGCAGCAAGTAGATGAATGGAAAAATAAAATTGATTATCAAATTACTGGAGTCCTGGAACACTGTCCTTTCATTTATCTCCAGGGTCCTTGGACCCACTGATGAATATGCGGGTTTTCTGTACTCTTCCTGTATAGTACAACCTGTCTTTAAAATTGGTGCACTTTGCCATTGACCTCAGTGGGAGCAGGATTACACACAACCCTGAAGTTTAACCCACATAATTTAAATATGTATACATGCGTTTAAATTGCTGGTGTTTGCATTGTTCTTTGTAAACTGTTGTGAGGTTTTCTGTTGAATAAGTGATATACAGTGGTACCTCGGGTTACAGACGCTTCAGATTACAGACTCTGGTAACCCAGAAATAGTACCTCGGGTTAAGAATTTTGCTTCAGGATGAGAACAGAAATCGTGCAGCAGCGGCAGCGAGAGGCCCCATTAGCTAAAGTGGAACCTCAGGTTAAGAACAGTTTCAGGTTAAGAATGGACCTCCAGACCGAATTAAGTTCTTAACCCGAGTTACCACTGTATAGATTTTGTGAAATAAAGTAACATTATTTATTACAATTAAATACCACCTTTTTTCTTCCAAGGAGCTCAAGGAGGTTGTCCTTCTCCCCGTTGCCTCCTCACAACAACCTTGTGAGGTAGGTTAGGCTAACAGATGGTGACTGACCCAAGGTCACCCAATGAGCTTCAAACCCTGGTTTTACAGGTCATGGTCAAACACTATATCAATTATGCCACGCTGATCAAGCAAGGCAGCTCTACATGTACATCTACAGGCATATTTAGGATGCAGAGTAGATTTGTATCTTGATGCACATTTAGTGCCCCGCCCCCGAGTTTAAGGGATGCATCTATTGACATGGATGAGGCTGACTAGTAGAGATCTAGTCCAGGCGGGGGGACAGGGTAGGGAGGTAGTAGGAATTGTGGAGTATAAAACTTGCGAGTCCTGGGTTCAAATCCTCCCTCAGCCATGAACTTTATTCACCAGGCAATAAGGTTGTTAGGAGGGTTTTTTTGAGGGAGCAGTAAGGCTGTATGACTCACCTCCCTTCCCCTTCTACTTCCTGGATCCAGCACAGATTCAATGGCTGGACTAGCCAGGCTAGCTTCCTAGAGAGGTAATGGTCCTCTAAGTATGGGCCATTAAGACAACAAAGGAAGTGGCTTTGTGCCAGATGAAAAAAGGGGCGGGTCCCCCTCCCTCAACTCGCTGGTACTTAGAAAGACAAAGCCAGAGTTAGGAGTTGAGCTATGTGAAATTAAAGCTAGCAGCTGAGAGAGCTATGCCTGATTTCTGTTGGAAACCAAGCTATGAAATAAGATAAAATTGGGGGAAGGCGGTTTGAGCTCCTTGAAAGAAAGTTGGGCTATAAATGAAATAAAAATAAACAAATTATAACTTTAGATAAATTGGCGGGAAGTCAAAGTTCTCAAGCATACAGAATATGGGTCGCTAACAATTTATCGGCCCATTGGCACATTCTGAAATTTGTGCAATTGCTGAAGCCACATTCTCCCTCCCCCCCCCCAAAAAAAACAACAAATCCCCACACACAATGGGAGCCGCCATTTTAATTCTTTACAATGGCCCAGAGTGGCACTAGAGTGGGGTGGAATCTGGACATATATAAAAAATGCTGTGAAAATGCTTTTTTTAAAAAAAAATGTTTTAAAAAATATATATTGAATTTGCCGTAAACTCACAATCGCCATCTGGTGTCATGTTTGTATAATGCACTTAAAAGCCCAGGGAAACTGTAAGAAGCTTAAATGGTACTCACTGAGGTGCCAGAAAGGGGTGGGGCAGGCATCAGCAGTGGGTCCTTCTAGACCCCCAGAAGCTGCCTAAGGATGCTGGGTGCTGATGCCAGCCCTGCCTTTGCGCCGGAAAAAGTTTCCTCATGGCAAAGAGAGGTGTACACTTACTATGCAGAATGGTTGGCATCCACTATCGCTCGTGGGTGTCAGTCCATCAGTCCCCAAGCAAACACGACCGGTCTCTTAAACGCCATCATTCTAGATTCAGTAGCCCTGTTTGCTGCAGATCACAAGTCCATAGTCTTGTTCTACAATGCTGTAGAAAGTCAGTACATATAGCTTCCCTTCCTTTTGTGGGATATGAAGAAGATGTAGCTGAAACGCTAGGCTAATGAGCCTCATGGACTATCATGGAGTCACATTGTTAGTAAATGTGCCAGAGTGGTGCATGCTCTAATTATCTCCCACTTGGATTACTGCGATGCGCTCTATGTGGGGCTACCTTTGAAGGTGACCTGGAAACTGCAACTAATCCAGAATGCGGCAGCTAGACTGGTGACTGGGGGCGGCTGCCGAGACCACATAACACCAGTCTTGAAAGACCTACGTTGGCTCCCAGTATGTTTCCGAGCACAATTCAAAGTGTTGCTGCTGACCTTTAAAACCCTAAACAGCCTCAGTCCAGTATACCGAAAGGAGTGTCTCCACCCCCATCGTTCTACCCAGACACTGAGGTCCAGCGCCAAGGGTCTTCTGGCAGTTCCCTCACTGCAAGAAGCCAAGTTACAGGGAACCAGGCAGAGGGCCTTCTCGGTAGTGGCACCCACCCTGTGGAACGCCCTCCCACCAGATGTCAAAGAGAAAAACAACTACCAGAATTTTAGAAGACATGTGAAGGCAGCCCTTTTTAGGGAAGCTTTTAATGTTTGATGGACTATTGTATTTTAATATTTTGTTGGAAGCTGCCCAGAGTGGCTGGGAAAACCCAGCCAGATGGGCGGGGTATGTATGTATGTATGTATGTATGTATGTATAAATAAATAAATAAATAAAATATATCAGTGATATCTCAGCATAATGCAGGAAGTGAATTAGCAAGGGAGATCTTCTTCCGTGGAGTAGGGGAAAGGGAGAGGTAGCAATGGTCAATCATTGCTTTTCCCTGTTGAAGATCAGCTTAATGCATTTCTTCTCTGAATATGACATGGTACTAACAACTTGCAACCCAGAATCTGAATAATAAAATACCAACAGCAGCAGTGTACCTAAACTCAAGGCACTATGCTAAGCTTTTCTCTTATCACCAGTGTTCTTGGATGCCTTCAGCACAGTGGCTCTTTCTCACTATACCCCTGTATCTCCAAGTACACAGTTTTTGCTAAACTTTCTGTGAGGTTTTACCCTCAACCAAACCACCCTTCCCTTCCCGTCCAAGGGTTCCATAGAACAGCAAAATCCTATTACCCTCCTCCTGCTCCTCAGTAGTTAGGGTTGTTATGGATAATGTGTGACAGCACAGCTAATGGCTTGGTGGCACATCAGTGCCTTCATTTTGCCCTGAGGGCAACTTCCCACTATTTTGCCCTGTGACGGTGCCACGGCTAACACTTTTGGCCTATTTGCTCACAGATTTGCACATGTTAAATTGCACAATGGCAAAAAGCCATTGGTTTGGGTCCTACCCTCCCGAGCGGGAGAAAACAAGCTTTCTCCATCTTCCATGTGAAAACCCTTTAGATATTTGAAGATGGCTATCATCTCTCCTCTCTGTCTCCTCTTATCCAGGATAAACATACCAAACTCCCTCAACCATTCCTCACAAGGCTTGGTTTCCAGCCCCTTGATCATCTTGGTCACCCTCCTCTGCAAGCGTTCCAGCTTGTTAATCTGCTTTAAATTGTGGTGCCCAAAAGGGGCACAGGACTCCATGTGCGGTCTGACCAAAGCAGAACAGAGCGGGACTATTCCTTCCCTTGATTTGGACGCTATACTTTTGTTGACGCAGTCTAGAACAGCACATACATAACTGCTGCTCTAAAGTGACCTTTGCAAATCTGCCAATCAACTATAGTGGCGTATTCAGTCCCTAAAGACTGCATGTAGTATTGCTGAAAAGGGAAACAGCTTTTCCTGGTGCTTTGGCAAACCCAAGGAAAGAAGCAGCTTTCAAGAGGTTGCAGTCCCATTTTTTTAAAAAAAAAGATGCTGAAGAGGGGGGGAAATACCTTCCAGCGAAGTATCTCAGACATTTCAGATATACCTTGTAAGGAGCCCATGACATCTCTCTCAAAAATGCGATAGATAGATATATTAGAAATCTGAGTCATCCTAACGGGCTTTCATAGGCCTCACTGAACAGGCAGACTGACCAGAGAGGTAAGGTTTTGTTACATCCTGAATATGATGCAAGCTTGCCATCTGCTGGTATAGAGAAGTATTGTAGCAACTGCAAGAATCAATTTCTCCAATTTCATAATGCAGATACAGTGGTTCCTCACAAGACGAAATTAATCCGTTCCGCGAGTCTCTTCGTCTAGCGGTTTTTTCGTCTTGCGAAGCAACCCTATTAGCGGCTTAGCGGATTAGCGCTATTAGCGGTTTAGCGGCTATTAAAGGCTTAGCGGCTTAGCGGCTAAAAGGCTATTAGCAGCTTAGCGGCTTAGAAAAGGGGGGGGAAGCGAAAAAAATCTCAAGACTCGCAAGACGTTTTCGTCTTGCGAAGCAAGCCCATAGGGAAATTCGTCCTGCGAAGCACATCGAAAAACGGAAAACCCTTTCGTCTAGCGGGTTTTTCGTCTTGCGAGGCATTCGTCTTGCGGGGCACCACTGTATGTGCAAGGATACGCAGCAACGCAGAGAAAAGTTGGTGCGTTCTGATGTGTGTGTTCTAGTGTGTGCACTGCATGGCACACACAACTTTGCCAACCAGCACGTCACCACTCTTCACCTGCCCTCATCATTGGCCACCTGGGTCAGCTGCCTCAGTCTGCCTAGTGGCAGGGCTGGCTATGACTCTTTCGCATCATGAAAGCTTCACTCTCTGGTTCGCTGGAGGTAAATTACTTGCCACAGGCCATTCTGAAGAGTGGTTGCTAGGACTGCATTTTACAATACTGTTTAGGTGGAACTGAAGACTCCCTTCAAACAAATAAGTTATCATTATGATCACGTATAAAATGCCTAAGATGATGGTTGGCATAAGAATAGCTATGGTATTTGGGTGGAAAGGCACATTTCACAGATGTTTTTAAAATTCTCGGTGAGTATACAAATGGAAGCCTTCTTACTTACGGTTCAATATTCCCTTCCTCAAGATCCACAGATCTTGTACTGTGCATTTTATCCGTATCTAGCTATCAATGCAGTTGCTTTGTTTTCTATTCTTCACTTGCTGCCCTTAGTTATTTTGAAATAGATATCCCAGGAAGTTATACAGCAAAGAGAGATGTAGTGGAGACCTTGAAAATGTCATAAGTGATTTTGCAGAATTTCTAAGCTGCTTTCCAGCCAATGCATTTTGTTGCTGTTGTTCCATTTTCTTTCTGGAAAGCGTAGAAATAGAAGCACGTTTGCTTGACCTCCCAATTATTTTGGATGTCAGCTTGACTAGAATTGATAGCTAATCCCTAATAGTTTGCTTTGCAAACTTCCTCCGTCGAAAAGGAATGCTTTGAAAGAGTTGAACATTTTGCGCAGTGTAATCTATTGGGGGAAAGAGGAAGTCAAACGAATTTAAACCACATCTCAATGATAAAGGGATGCCTGGTGAATTTAGCTTAGCAGCACAGCATATTCCAAATAACAACATGTATTTCTCAAAAGGAGGAAATTTAATTCCCCACACTGCACTTAATACTATTCTGGCTCCTCTCGAATTCTGTCACCCAGACCAGAAGTAGCCAGCATAGTGCTCTTCAGAAATTGTTGGATTTGCAACACCTGCACAATGTGACCTTCCGAGCTGAACACTATTTCCATATATTGATACACCTGCACCTATCCACCCACTGTTGATAGTTTACAAGGCCCTCTGTAATAATCCTGGTTTTGATGGGGGGGGGACCAGGAAGTGGTGTGAGGGTCAAGCAGTTAGCAGACCACAATGCATGGTGGTGACAGGCACTTGGCGTTTTGGTGTGAGGGGTCACAAACTGCAAATTTCTAACAGGAGGGTCTGGTCCACAGCTGCATGTTGAATATTTTCATCTGTGGACCAGCCCCTAAATGAGGACTTTCCAACTTGCGACCCACCAAGCCAAAATGCCAAATGCCTGACACCACTTTACATTGTGGCTTGCCGGTTGCTTGACAAGTCCAAGAAATATTAATTTAGTTCTATTTCTCCTTAAATACACATTTTTCATATGCATTTTAGTCGAATATATGCATTTTTTTTTTGCAAGGAATTTCCTTTAATGCAATGATTCATTTTACACAATTTTAACTGATTTTTGTGCACACCTTTCCCTGGTATATTAATTTTTGCGACAACCACCTCCTTATCTACTCAATTAACATTCATTTTTTTAAAAGAATTGGAGAGCTGTGTTGCAAAATTCAGAGAAGTGAGACGCATGAAGGCTAGCTGCATTTTGTTTTCAGACTTGTCAATTAGGTAGTTTTGCATTGAGATGCAAACTTGATGAATTCCCCACCCGTAGTATCACGAAAGAAATAAACCAACAAACCTAGGAGTGGGCATTTTAGAATTTAGGGAAAGCGAAACTAGCATTTTACACCAGAAGCAGAAATTGCTGAGCCTAGCCCCCTCCCAAAGTGGAAATTGCACTGATCGCTGCATAGTTTTTTTTTGTGGGGGGATGTGCCTTTATCTAAGTGATGAGCCAAAGCTCAGTCTTCGCAGAGTCAATATGAGGTTGGAAGAAAGGCACATTGCCAGGCACCAGAGGAGGAAAAAGCACAGCTACAGTAGACATCCATTTTGTTGTAGGAGGCATAATAGACCTTTTCAGGTTTTATTGTTATTTTTGGATAAAGCGGAGCGTGGGGGCTTGGGGAGTGCAAGGATGTGGTGGTGAAACTTCAAACAGGAAGCAAACTATGTACTGAAAAAGTCACATTTTAATTGTATAAATATGAAATAACATGAGCATAACAAAGGAACGGCGTCTGCATCCAAGAGAAATAAAAGAGCAGGCTTCGGCCATGGAAAAACCCAGGATTGCTGACATAAGACCTGATTCAGCTGAGCCCTTAGAAATTTAGAGCTTTTGAGGGCTTGTTTACATCACGGAGACCCTTAGCTTGTATTCTCCTCTCTCAACCCAAGCAAGGAATCCCAATGTGATCCAGCCACATATCCTTCTTGGAGTCACTCCCAGGTCACCTGTTTCTCTAGGAAACCACAAACTCTGTCCCAGAGATAACAGCCCCTCTATCACACTATCCCCTAATGGGGAGCAAACCAAAAACGAGACTCAAGAACACCCAGTAGGAAATTGCTGTTGACATGTACATACCAGTGTTCGAAACTCCCATTGTTCCAGGAGCATTTTGCGACAGGGAATTTCATTAGTGCAAGCTGTTTCTGAGCTCTGGGTGCAGTACTGCGCCTAAGATTTCAGATTAAAACTGAAGAGTGGAAGGAAAGGAGGACCTTTTTCTGCCTCCCCACTTCCAGCTACTCTCTGAAGGCTGGAGAAGAGACCCTCTTAAGAACATTAGAGGATGGGTGGGCAGGGGAAGGACTAGACCATGTGAAAAATGAACATAAGATTTTAGCTGCAGTTCATTCATTTTCAGCTTTGTTTTCTTGTTATAAAAAAGTCCGCCTAGATATTCCATTATTGCGCCCATAACCTAGGCTTAAGGTGACATTTAGCTCCTAGCTTTCATATCTCAGTTTCTAACTCTGGTACATCCATACATCCTTTTATCTGCAGGCCACCTTTCCATGGTTAAAACCATGCTCAAGGCAGCTTGCAACATGAAAAAACACACCAAACACAAGAGCCTTTTCACAGACACGCCCCAATTTTTTTTGAGCATCAGCAGAACTGTGAAACACAGCCCCCCCCCTTTATGCAAACCAAGAAGTGAGATTCGCAGGAAACGGATATTCAGCAAAGAACCATTGTAGCTTCCTTCTAGGATCCCTTGTGTACCAGCCTGGTTCCCCCTTTCTGTTTGGTGAGGCTGTCAGTACACCTTGGGGGACATGAGTCATCACTTTGGCACCACGTAGGATTAACAGAGAGCCAGGACACCATGTTGGGAGAGGTAAAACATTATTTTCTGGCTTGCAACCTCCCTACATAGTGCCACCTACTTTTTGGATGTACAGCTAACACAACAGGGCGCTGCTAGAGATTTCTCATGGAAAAGTATGCAAAAAGGACTCCGGAAACCAAATAGTCCTGATTACACACCTAGTTGCATTGATTCAGTGCCCCTTAAGCCAGCCTTGTTTGGGTTCGTTCATAGTTTAATTTTGATTTTTGCTTGTTCTCTAGCTCCAAGAAGCTCCAGCATGCAAGTTAAAGTATTGCTCTTCTTAGCAAAGTCAGAAAGATGAACAAAAGTAAATCTACACTGGAACACGTTCAAGGGGAAGGGTGCTCTTAAGAGCTGCAATTTTCTGTAGAAGGATCCCCCCCCCTTTTTTGCAATATATTGCAACGTATCATTACTCTGGTTTTATCCTCTTCCATTTGGCAAAGGCTCACCCCTTTCCCCTTCTCCGTTCCTCATAGAGCAAAAGAAGAAGAAGCCAAATGTGGCTCCCTTTCAAATAGTTTCAAACCGTGCCAGCAGCAATAATAAATAACTGAGGAGTCTCACAATTGGTTTAGCTTACCCAAAACTTTGAAAGGATTCTTTTAAAAAGAAAAACACACACTAAACAGTCCCAAACCCTCAAGGATGGCACCAGGAAATATGCATTTTTCGGGGTCTCCTTTTGTAGTAAAATAAATAGAATGACAGGAGAGGTAGGTAGCCACATAGAAAGATACTGGTAAGCATTTCAGAGAAACTTGGTTTTTTAGGGCAGCTGGAAATAAAGGAGTCAGATAAATGAGAGATATTATTGATGTCGCGACTATGCATAGTGCTTTACAACGTAATAGCATGGCAGAATTATAGTCAGTGGTGACTGGGACTGGCAGAGCAGCAGTCAGGAAGACCAATGGTATATAATTGTTTCATTTTGTATTTTTATGCCCCGTGAACTCTGGATGAAGGTTGGTATACAAATATAAATATAAATGAATAAAAAGAAAGAAGAAAGAAAGAAAGAAAGAAAGAAAGAAAGAAAGAAAGAAAGAAAGAAAGAAAGAAAATGGTGCTCTTAGGGAATGCCAATGCCATCTCTCTCTTTTCAAGCAGGTCTAAAAACCTTATCCTTTTCAATGGAAATACAGTGATACCTCGGGTTAAGACCTTAATTTGTTCTGGAGGTCTGTTCTTAACTTGAAACTGTTCTTAACCTGAAGCACCACTTTAGCTAATGGGGCCTCCCGCTGCCGTTGCGCCACCTCTTCATGATTTCTGTTCTCATCCTGAAGCAAAGTTCTTAACCTGAGGTAATATTTCTGGGTTATAGGAGTCTGTAACCTGAAACATATGTAACCCGAGGTACCACTGTAATTGAGTCTGGTCTGATTTGAAACGAAGACACTGATACGCCAATACCTCTCAGCATTGCTTATGTATTTCAAAATATGTGCACCCCTTTTCTTTATAAACTCTAACACAACAAAATGATAAAACGTGTAACAAACACAATGCCAAGCTGTCCGGATGACTAAAATCGAAGTCATACATTAAAATCAAAGGGTAGGATAAGGCAATTCAGTATAACAACAAGGAGGCAGAACTTTCGCCCACACTAAAATCTCAGCAAGATTTAAGGGTTTTAGAAGCTTTCAGGCTGAGGGAGTCAAACCTCTCTGGGAAGGAATTTCCGTAGCGTGGGTTCTGCAGTAGAGAACAACTGCAAGTTCTCCAAGTCAGAGGTTAGCATGTACACCACAAGTCCTTCTACAACATGGTGGGCAGACTTCACGCTTGCAGGATCCTATTATTATTATTATTATTATTATTATTATTATTGCCTCAATTTCCATCAACTGGGGCAGATGCAAAACAGTTACACTTAAAATAATTTCCTGGGCTCAGAATTTGTTAATTCTGGGTATCAGAACTGGACAGAAGTTATAGCCCTTCCACATAAAAATCCACTCCTGGTTACTGCGTTTTCTTCATTTCATCAGTATCATGTGTGTGTGAGAGAGACAGATTTTGTTAAACAATTAGGAGCCAGAAATCCTCGTCAATCTACTGCAAATCACCTAGAGATCTATCAGTAGATCCAGATCTACCCTGTGTCCATTTATGTTCTAAATTGCCAATCCTCATTGGCCTGTTGTTAGTATTCTGCCAATCATAGGATTTTTTATTTCAAAAAGCCATTAGCAGCTCCCACATCCTTGTTTCATGCACACGATCTTCACCACATTGAACTGAAACGTTTGCTTATACACAGTATCTTCCGCAAAGGTCTGCAGGGCCAAAGATAACACAAAATATTCTCCTCCCAAAGCCTTGCAAATGGCTAAGGCTGACAGAAAGCAGATCGAGAATTTAGAAAGTGGCTTTTAAAGTAATCCTGTATTTTCAAATGGACACTTATAAAGAAATTCATCTAGGCACTTGGGAAATACTGAATGGCAAAACCACCCCACAGTCAAGTGCTTGGCTAACCGTCATAAAGCTTTATGCCGTCAGGAGTTATGACTTGGTAAAACTGCATTTGTATCTCTGTTTGATTCTGCATTTAAATGCTGGCAATCCAGCACTGGAACTGCATCCAATGTTAGGAACCCACACAGAGAGCTGAGCAAAACAGAAGTGATGGCAAGACCAGAAAATAAATGTCAGGAAAACACAGCAATTAAAAAGACCACTGCAGCCATATACCAAAGAACGAGTGAAGCAAACAGAGGAGCGTTTCCTTCCAAAATGAGGGTGGTAGGCTGTTACCTCCCACTACGACGTTGCCTAATACTCTTCTGCCCCCCACCCTCCACTGTTAGCACTGATTCCTGTCTCCAATTCTCATTCTTGCCCTTTACAAATACTGTTTAGGAGCCCACCTCTCTTGGCTTGGGAAACAGCCCAACACTGATGGATAGACCATCCTAGGTGGGCCAGCCTCAGCAAACTGACTTGGGGTTTCCTCTGAATTGTTAAAAATGAGAAAAAGTGAGCCATGTAGCCTGGCCCAGCCCTGAAGGAAGGAGTGGGTGGAGGGCTAAGGTTCAGGAGAAGGAAGAAAAGGCTCCCACACAATTTGGTACATCCTTGGAACAGTAATGGGTCCAAGATAACCATGCTAGATGAGTTAAGGGGCAAATTGTTGATAAGCTAAGCCTGCCTTTTCCATACCCTGCAAGTGTCCCGGAAAAACTAGAACATCCTGTTTTTTCTCACACAATTTCATGCTGTTATTTCCTTTAAGAAAGCACTGTTTTGGGGTTGCGATCTTGCACGGCACCCCAAAATGCGTTATTTGGGCATCATTCCTGGGGGGAAACCCACATTTGGGGGGGAGGGGAATCACAGCACAAAATTGCACAAGATCACAACACCCAAAATGGCCACCATCCTCCTGCAATAAGAAAAAAAGAAATATGGCGTTTGCCTTTTGTGTGCTTTCCATTATTTGGAGTGTTGATATACTTGGCATCACAGTCTGCTCATCTGCCATGCATATATAGGCATCTGTCCTCACAAAGTGCTGTAGGACAGGAAGCCAGTCTGTAGTTAGTGAGCTTGGAGTCAACAAGGCCTACTCTAAGTAGCAAAGCCTGCATGGTGGAAGGAAGGTGACATTCAAGTAGGCCATTCTGAGCACTCCATGTGAGGAAACCATGGATGCATAGACTGGCTCAAAGAGGGGTTAAAAGGCAGTTTCCACAAACTCCTCACCCTTCCAAGGCATGTCTGTGGGTGAAGCAAGGATTTTAGTCTGCCTTAGTGAAGTAGAGAAGTACACAAATGAATGGATATTAACACAAATGACAAGGACTCACGTGGTCCTAGAGGACTAAGAGAAAATGGTGCCAGAACACCACACCTAATTGACATATACCCAACCCTACTGCTCTGCCAACCCTCATAAAAGATACTGCTCCATTGAACCACCAGTGCTTGGGGTGAAGAGAGACACCATCACCCCCAAGAGATGCTCCAGTTCTTTCCCTTGCAGTGAAAAGACAAGACATGCATTTGAGAGAACCATTCACTGGTTCAACTGGTGGTCGTATGCCTTCCCTGCTAAATGCACTGCCCACACCTAAGCCTCCATTTTCTCTTCCTCCACTTGGAGAAAATCAACAAAGTGCCTTGTAGAGGCTCAACTACTTTCTTTCATATTCTGGATCAAGCTTACCTCAAGATGCTCTGTGTTCCAGTCTGCTATGAGGCAATAGTCTCTCCTTTGGTAAAGGCCAGACTCCACAAGAAAGGAAGAAGTGGTTTAGCTTCCACTTGACCCAACCACCCAGCTGTCAGGTATTAAAATTAACCTTCCTTCCCCAGCTGAAGGAAGATGAGGAGGCAACAGGGGATCCTGAGCAGGCAGGCAGGCGAAGACCAAACTGACAGCTGAATTCAATTCACTGGCTTTCACACTTGTCTTTTCAGGTGTGCTTGTAGACTAGTGAAGGGCCTTGTGGTGAGTCCTCTTTATGTATCTTTCTTTACACTTGACTAGGCCCAAGACATTTTGAAGCCTGGGGGTGAGGCCAAGATGATGCTCCCCTCCTCCTTCTACGTAATATGGAAAGCTGACTGGATATTACTTAAATGCTGGCAACAGGAGAGTGTCTTCAATCACACCTGAGGGCAGCTAGCTAATTATGGGGGAACAGCAGAGGTCACATGACACACCCTTCCACAGAAGGCTGCAGGTGGGGTGAGGAAACACATTCCCCCGATTTGTTGAAGTCACCACATTCTTCCTTCTGGTGAGGACAGCCCTGGTACTAGTCTAGAACAGGGTTTCTCAAACTTGGGTCACCACCTTTTTTTAGACTACACTTCCCATCAACCCTGACTGCTGGTCTAGCTGGCTAGGGATGATGGGAGCTGTAGTCCATAAACAGCTTGGGAAATCCTAGTCTAGGAGGATTCCAGACTATACAGGAAAGCCACAGCAAAGGCAACTCCAGCCCCAGGAAGCAAACAACGAACCTTATAGCCAGGAAGGAAGCAGAAATGGTGGGGTGGAAAGACAAAACAGCGCTAAGCAGGACAGAAGCTGGCAGGAAACCAGAAGCCACAACTCATCACAAGGGCCATAGCAGCAGATGAGAATTTAAACAGAAACTTTGCTGGCCATTGGAGCCATGCCAGATGGGAACTCTAATGCTTTTTTGTGTGGCTCTGCTCAAGGGCAATGCATTTTAAGGAGTTTAAGCACTCTTCTGCCTGATGGATAAATTCTCCTTTTCCATATGGGCAGAACTCTGTTTTATAAATTTGTAAGTATAAAGACAGCAAATAGGCTTTCACTACCTGCATTGCATATAAAGGTGGGGAGGAGAGGGAAAGCCCTTTGGCTCATCCCGTTTTCAATATTAAGTTTTGCTTTATATTGCAACTACAAATGGGAAGGAGAAGACCAAAATTCAATGTGCAGAAATGTTTGCCGTGTGTCAGCAGCTGAAATGAACCAGAATTTTGTTGTGGGTGCTAAAGGGGCAAATGAAGGATCTAAAGGTGCTTCCAAACTAGATGTTTAATCTGGAATAGACATGACCGTTTGGTTTTCAGGGGCACATGCATGTTGTTTCTAATGCTGTTGTTTTTGCGACTACAGAAAATCCGAGCTCTTTCTAGACATGCTTGCATTCATTGCTTGAGGCATCCATCACACTCTGCCTAGCAGTGAGGCAGGTCTATGCAGAGGTGACTTGCCCAACACCCAGTGGTTGCAATGTTCAACAGAGAAGTTCCAAGCTTGACTGAGTAGCATCAGAAAAGGTGTGTTGTTGGGTGCGGGAAAGTGATGGGGGGTCAGCTGACATCATCATAATTATTATTATTATGGCAAAGCAAGAAATTCACTGTCTTTGGCAGAGATGCCCTTGGCTCTCCTTCCCAGTCCATTCTGAATGTCCAAACAGATAGTCCAGATTGCTGTTAGTGTATAGATCATATGGTGACAAACACAGAAATAAGTAATATGGTTGCTAGACTTACTTGGCTTC